ATACCTCCCAATCATATTGGTTCGACAACATGCGTAAAACTCTCGACAGTTGGGATTCTGGCCGAAGATACACTGCCTGTGTAACTAATATAGCTAAGAAGCAAGCTGCAATATGACGCAATCTGCATTGAGAAACATTATAGAGTCAACCAAATTCCAGGGACAACATGTTTACTCAACAAAGGCCAACCATATCTCATGTTTTTTTCCGACTTAAGTTTGTTTTTGTAACGATTGGTCTTGGTGATTCCATAAACAACATTCAACATCACAAAATGTTTTCCTTTTCTTTCTAGCCGAGAGCTTCAACGTTGGTAGGGAACTATAGAACGCCGTCTAGTTATTGTTTAAGCTATCTGCTTATGGAACCAAGGCTGAAAGTTCATGTGGCTGGTTGAATGATATTTCGATGGGCTTAAGATGGAGTTTAGATTCCAGCCAGCATAGTACTATCTATCAACTCTAGTTACTGAAAGCCTATCTGCCTCCAATGATATTGAAACTCTAGGTGCCTATGTATGAGACTGAGCTGTAGATGAGGTGCGATAGAAGACAGTCCGTTCTCAGCCCCACTCAATAAATTTGAGGTAAGCGAGTTGAGCTTTTTCCAAGGAGCTCTTTCCAAGGAGCTCTAACAAACTGAGTTCGATGTATAAAAGGGATGCGTTGGTTTTAGCCAAAAAACCAATTGAATATTTACTTGCACATATGACTAGAAACCGTCACTGTACGTCTCACCAAATCATCAGCAATGATGGTTGAAAGAAACCCAATGAAATTCGCTATGGCTTTAAAAAACAAATGCTACTGCTCTATGAATCATTTGACAGGCTCATGTTATACTCCAACTCCCACTCAGCCTTGGGATCTCCTTTTCGTGGCACAAACTTCACTGTTAGTCCGTCCTTAACAGCGAAGACACTGTCGTTCTCGAGATATCCTGAGTCAGAATCGAAAATCTGAGTAACAACAGACTTGTGGCCCTCAGCAATGACCTACGACATGTTAGATTAGACCCTTGACTGTTTCTGGGGCTCTCAATTGAACATACCATGAAGTGCAGATGAGCAGGGCGGAAAGGGTGGCGGTCGAGGAGGTGGAGAAGCTGACCAGCAGGGCCATCATCAGGAACCTTGAGAAAGTGTTAGTAGATCCTTGGTATTTTAACGGGGCAAGATTGCTTACGGGATAAGGAGTAGGTCGTAGGCAGTAGAAGGAGTATCGGCCCTGGTCGTCGGTGATGAACTTGCCACGGAGGTTATGCTCAACCTGCTTCTCGTCCTGCTGCTCGTAGAGGCCTGGAGAGAATTAGAACCTGCAAGAAAGAATCTCGAAGATATAGTCTTACCATTGGTAGATGCTTGCCAAACCTCGACAGAGGCATTGGGAATGGGCTTTCCAGTAGCCGCTGATGTCACGGTACCGTAGAGATAGGCGACAACACCGTCGCTGGGAGTGTCGAAAGTGATTGTAGTGCCATTCTCGCGAGTAGGGGTATCATGTCGCCAGAAAGGACCCAGAATAGCAGTCTCAGTTGCGGCCACGCCGTTCTTGGCTGCTTGACGGTGTGTAATATCATCAACAAGACTAAAAGCTGTTAGTAATGAAATTGACACTTGTGGCAAGTGAATTACCTTTCAAGGCCAATAACGTCGCACATCAATTGACCCTCATTTCTCTTGTCGTTGCTCATTTGTCCGGCCCAGTTGATCATCTTAACAGCAGACATCCACTCGTCGCAAGTGAGCTGTGTCTCGCGCGCAAAGTCGTGCATGTGCTGGATGAAAGATGTCATGACCTCTTTCAGACGAGGGTCCGTCTTGGGACCGAAGGAGTCGATGACTTGCTGTGTGAAGGCCTGGCCGAGACCCTCCTCCTTGGGAGCGCCGTTGGCATTTCCGCCAGTCGCTGATGGTGTCATTTTGATAGAGTTTTGTGGGGTATTGATGGAGTTGAGGGGATGGAAGAAAGAGTGCCTGTGAGGATGGCTTGGACTTATGCTTGGGTGAATGAAAGAAGAGGCTTTCTAATAGGTCTTATGAAGTCCCTCTTATCACTGGAGTTGTTTCAAAGATGGTGTCGAGCAGATGACTTGACCCCGCATAATTCACAGTCAGCATGGTTCGATTCGGATATACAGACAGCGCCTCAACAAGGAGCGGCTAAGGACATCTCCCGAAAGGACATCGGGTGCGTGTTGTGAGCATCAGTGTCCCATGGGGCCAAGCGGCAATGTTGCAGCCATTTTGCGGGGTGAAGTCCCCAACCAATTAGGGGACTGATGATTGCGTTTAGCACTCTCGGCAGAGGCGAGAATGGTGCCACGCGCTTTTCGGATGTCGGAGCAAGTTGATCGGATGTACAGACGAGGGGACACCCTGACTCCGATTCCGACGCCGCGGAATATGGAGCCCAAAAGAATTAGCGTGTCGTACGATGCTGCTAGTGGAGGTAAGCCTAGTGTAGCCGCTGCAAGTCACCTGGAATACGCCAAAGCCGTCGCAAATTCGCCATGATGGGAACGGAAGTGAAGAGCATTAATTATAACGACTTCTTGTCACGCGACAACGTAGACTTAGCATTCTAGAGTGGAGAGAGATAGCGCTTGGATAATCTATGCATGTATCAATTGGCTAGGTAAATGCTAAAACTCAATGCGATAAACTACTTTGACAGCTTGCGATCGGCGTCCTCGCCAAAGTCCCATGTTGGCTTGTCCGCACCATTAGGCCGACTCGCTCTCCTGAAGCCAACCTCAAGACCCTCAATTTCTACAACAGGTGGTACGGCCTCCACCTCAGCCTTATAGGCGTTAGAGTACCATTTCTCCACGTATTTGTCCCCAGTGAAGAGCTCAGGGAAGACCTGTCGCATCCTCAATAATGCTGTTCCCGAGATCTGATCCACGCTATGCGCATGTCGCAGGGCGAGGAAATCAGGTCCAATATCCTTCCTCAATCTCTCCTTCACCTCCTCAGAATATTGCCCAACCTTGAAGAGAAGCAAGTCGTAGTGAAGAAGTGAAGCCTTCCCATGCCATGATCCACCGCGGGTGGCGCGATGATAGAGACCTAGCAAGGCTGTGATGGCACCAATGCATCCTGTTCCGTAGTCCGAAATAGGGAAAGGAGGGACGACAGGTTCTGACAAGCCCATGAAACGACCCTGCTCCCACGCGATTCCACTGACCTATAAATCGGGTTAGTTCGGTCTCCCTCGTACCTGTAGATCAAGGCACTTACACAATCGGCAATCTGTTGCCACCCAGGTCGTCCAGCCCACTCTCCCTCGTAGCCAAAGCAGTTCTCATTGACATACACAAAACCCTTGCCACGTTCCTTAGCAAGTTTTGTAAGTGCAGTGGCGCCATATCCAAGCTTCTCCAGAGCGCCAGGTCGATATCCATCGACAACGACATCTGCTTCAGCGAGAAGCTTCTCAAATTCAGCTCTACCCTCAGGGGACTTCAGGTCTAGCTCTGCAGCATGCTTGCCCATGTTGCCATCTACCTGGAAGAAGGGAACGTCACTCAGATTGGGACTTGTAATCTTGAGCACATCGGCTCCATACTCTCCGAGAATACGGGTGACAATAGGTCCAGCAATGATTCGGCAGAGCTCAAGAACTTTGATGCCTGACAATATCCTCTTTGGGTGTTCTGGGCTTGGTGTCAAGGGACACTTAGGTGTCTCGGCCTCAAGGTTGTCGACAGACCATGGTGGAAGTGCCATATTTGTCTTGCCCTGGTCGTTTGTCAGATATATCCTTGTATATGCGATGTCTAACTTACATGTTGAGTTTTCACAAAGTCCTCGTGCTTCAAAGCAGGGACACCCGCCTGTCGACGAGCAGCATTCATGCTCTCGAGCTCGTCTATCGAGAACTGTCGAACAGCAGGTTCGATAGTATTGACGATGCTCTCATGTGTTTGCAAGTCTGGTCTGAAAGGCTCAAGACCGATCATTTTCAGAGTTGTTGAAGCCTCCAAAGATCCATGAATATGATAATACTCTCCAGCATTCTTAGTCTCATACAAGTTGGCTGACATGCGGCGGTAAGGATTTGACTGGGCCTGCAGCAAATCCGTATCTTATGATCATTAGTTCCTTGGCTTGGAAAGCCAATAGTTGTGGCGTATAGACGTACCTTTGAGTAGGGCCTTGACGCCAGGATCAAGTTTTCCAAGACCACCAACCTTAGCCATATAAGCCTGGCAGAGGAAGGCTGTAGTCTTCTCCAAGTTGACATTGATCTTCCTCGGTTGTGAGTCACCTTCAACGGTCTTTGCTAGCAGAGTGGCCACGGCACCCTCTACTGCCTTAAGCGCAGCAGTTGTCTCCGTCTCCTTGAACGGGATAGGAAAGTATGGTGCATCTCGAGTCGACGTAAACTTGATGTTGTCCTTGAGATCCTTCACAGCCGCTGGAAAGGCAATCTCATCGAACTGACCGCAAAGGTAGTCAAAGATTCTCTTGCTCTCCTCCACCGAGGAATAATCGTGCTGGTTAATGCTACCCATTTTGACAGAAGAAACTTATCGGTTATTGGCTAAAAAGAGGCATCCACTCGGGGGCATCTACAAGAGGTTGATTGTTAAGAGGGAGTCTTTATACAGTGACACAACTCGATTCGTTGAGTGGCGGAAATCGACGGCAGTTCGGACCAAAGCGATAACCCACTATATCTGGGTGATAAATGCCTATGATTTATGGGTTTTTGGCGATGTGTGACCCATAATGCGTGAAAGATAGTGTCGTCAGTGGTTGAGTCTGTTGTGAAGACCCCATAATTTAGTGGTGGAGGTCGGCTGTGACCCTTGCCGATGGCTTGTCGCCCGGCTTCCGACGCTGAATGGGAGCCGTAAAGACCCGCGCTAGAACATATTGAGGCATTTGGGAGAGACCTTGAGGACTGAAGATAGTATATCGACAACAGAGAATACTCCCATCGTATCAATCGCGGCCAGTCTATCATCCAGTCTGCCAATATCTCTAATCAATATGCCGTTCATCAAAGTTCAGAACAAGACACTGTTTTACGCCCAAGTGGACGCTGAAACAGCCTCAAAAGATGGCCCAGTACTGGTATTCATCCATGGCCTTGGGTCGTCTCATTCATTTTATGTACCTGTCATGAACCAGCTTGCGACTGCAGGATACTCATCAATTGCATTGGATGTCTATGGTCAGTATTTGCTCATTCTGTTTGCACGAATTCAATACTGAAGATCAATAGGCAGTGGTCTTTCCACCTTGTCAGAAGGGGTAGAAGATCCTACATTTGACACAATCGCGAGTGATGTCAAGGCTTTACTGGAAGGATTAAGCGTTCGACCCGAAAATGCCGTCGCCGTTGGACATTCCATGGGCGGTATCATTGTACCAAAGCTCGCCCTGAAGTGCAACCTTCGCGGGTCAGTTCTCATTGGCCCTGTGCTGCCAAAGCCTGCGATGGCCGAGATCTTCAATACCCGCATAGAGACAGTCAAGAAAGGTGAGTGAATTTGAAGTACAGCGAGTATGATCTGGTGTTAATATTGGGTTTAGAAGGAATGGAGCCAATGGCCAAGACTATTCCCTTCGCTGCGACAGGTTCAAAAGCAACTTTGACACAAAAAGCATTCATTCGAGCTCTGTTGCTGTCGCAAAAGCCCGAGGGTTACATTGCCTTGTGTCGCGCGATTGCGCAAGCAGACTTGCCTCCCTACGCAAACATCAAATGCCCTGTGCTTGTTCTTTCTGGTGAAGAGGACAAAACAAGCCCGATCCCGGATGCGCAGAAAATATTGAATGAGTAAGTACTTGATTTACTGCAAGATCAATTAATTGAAGTGACCGGCGCTGACTTTTACTCTAGTTGGGGTTGCGACGACTCGTTCAAGAGCATACATATTTTGCCTGGAGTTGGTCACTGGCACTGTATTGAAGCAGCAGATGAGGTCGGTTCTAGAATACAAGAGTTCCTATCCAAAGTGGGTTAAGAGTTTCCAGATAAGATATAGATTAATCAGTACAAAATGTATTTCTTCGCGACTTCAATCACAAGAGATTGAAGAGATTGCTTCTGTTGTAATGCATGCTAGACTACGGAGTACATACGTGTTTGCTCTCTGTGACCAAAGCCAACTCAGCACTGACTCAGCTGGCCACGCAGGAATTCAGTGGTGTTGACCCCTCAATGTGACCGTCGGCTACAGGGATCATCTCATCGGCAGCTCGGTAATAGTAAATGGTGCGCCAATTTACGTCAGCGGGAATGCCACCAAATCTTACCCCATTCTCGTGGCCAAGTAACCAATAAAGACCTGGCCATATCCGACAGCTCGCGGCCCGCGGTTCACTCCCTCAGTTCCAGGGACCTCACACGACCTACCGACGACGAAATGCCTACCAGGAGGGTCCGGGACAGCGAGAGAAGACGATGCGCCGAGGCCTGCGAGAGCTGCAAACGTCGCAAGCAAAGATGCGATGGCCATAGACCCTGCGCCCGCTGCATCAAGCGAGGTCTCGGTCATGAGTGCCACGAGTCTCAACCTGCCTCAAACAATGGCGCAAGACGCATCCTCGCGTCATCCCTACCAAGTCCCGATCCCGATAGGCTCAGTAATATCACCGAGCAGACCACTCCTGCTGGTAGTATAACCGTCGGTAACAGATCGGGTCTGACGTCGGTGGATGAGACGTATGTTGATGACGGGACCTCTTCTTCTCTACAGCTGCTCTCAAATACACAACCCGAGAGACTTCCACGCATGTCGCGCCTTGTTCAAGATACGAGGGGTGAATATATGTTTATTGGCGACTCTGCAACACTGTCTTTTCTACAGAATATCAGGAGGATTGTGCGACGTAGCATAGGAGACTGTACCCTTGTTGATGACCCGTTGCGACATGGTATCGTCGAAGCATCGCCTGAGACACGGCGAGGATGGATCCTGTCGAGTGCCCAGAACCCACCACCGCGACAGTCTGAGCAGGAACTCGATTATCTTGTGAAATGGTACATGCAATCAGCCAATTGCGTACTACTTCTCTTCGACCAAACAGAACTTGACCAAGGCATACGAAAGTGGATTGAAGATGGCCAAGATATCGCTGACCCTGCGAGTTCGGTCTACTACCTGGTCTTTGCCATTGGTGCGCAGACAGGACCAGAAGATAAAGATGACCTCGCTGAGACCTTCTTCAACTATGCCCGGTACTTGACAGTGGAAACACTGATAGAAGAGCCGGGCATTGTCACCATTCAAGCATTTGTCCTCATCGCCATGTATCTCTTAGGTGCATCGCGTCGTAACGCGGCTTTTATGTATCTCGGCATGGGAGTTCGAGCTGCATATGCCATCGGTCTTCATCGCCATGACATTGCTTCCCTCTTCTCTGCCAACGAGGGTCGTGCGAGAGAACAGCTGTGGAAAGGCATCCGAATTCTCGATCTGTTCATGAGCGCATCATTAGGCCGGCCTCCCTCGACATCCGAGTTGAGAGATACTACAAACCTCCAGAACTATTCAGCTTGCAATGATCTCTCTATGATCTTCGAGTTGATCCTTACAGATGTTTATGCAAAGAGAATGATCTCTCCAGAGATACTGGAACGCATAAGCAAGCATCTTCGACGGTGGACTGCACAATGCGGAGAGGGTCTCGCGGTAGATGGCATCGAGCAGGATGACTTGATCCGTGATCAGAATGGCGAAGAACAACCAAATATTGGGCTAATACACCTCAAATTAACTGGCCATTGGACTGTCATGCTCCTGTCTCTTCCATTCCTACATAAGGCCGTATCTCAACACGTCGAAGACAATGAACAGTCCGCACAAGGAACTGCAAAGCGGTCTTCGTCAGCAAATCAAGTTCTTGTCCACTCCTGCCTCGAGTCAGCAGTGCGGACAGTAGACCTGCTACAAACTCTCGTCAGGACTGGCACCATACCGAAACGCTTACCGATAGTTGGAAATTCAGCCTTTGTATCTGGCCTCGTCCTCGGTGCCGCAATCTTTGGAGATTTCGATAACTCATTCCCGCTTGAGAAGAGTCTTCATGCAGCGAGAGGCGTTCTCGACCGCTTCAGTCGTTACGATGCCGTGGCGAAGCGCCATCTTATGATTTTGGATCACCTGCAGAATGCATGCGACATATACATGGACAACCGAGCAAGGCTACGAATGGAGCGTCAACGCCACCTCGTCAACGGTCTCTTCGGGAGTATTCACACAATCGGAAAGTCGCCATTGCGAAATTCTCAGCAACCAGAAGGTAACTCTCGAATTGGTTCAACGGATGGGATACAGACACAACCGCAAACACCCAGACCGGGCCAGGTCGCGAACGAGATGAACGAGGAGCAGCAAGGGTTTTCAATGGAGGGAGGAGAGCAAACGGAGATTGATGTTGATATTTCAGCGGATGCTTTTCTGGGTATTTCACCGAATATGCTTTGGTTCGATTCTTTTGATACGACAATGTCTCTGTTTCCTATCGTCGATACGCAAATAATGGGCGACGAAATGATGGCCAACGGTGTTACTAATCAAGAATGAGGCGGATATCCGAAGGGACTTTATCAGTGGACCGGAGTAACCAAGTTGAGCGAGCGAACAAGGATGATGGTCTTATGGGCATTAGCGAAAATGGCGAATGGTGGAACTTTTGTTAATCGTCTGTCGCTTGAAGGGCGCGATGGCAGTCTAGGCCTCACGAAATTTAATGATTACACATGTTTTCCCTTCTCAGACTGGGTAAGCTGAACCGGGTGATGTGCAATATCACGACATAGTCTATAATAACGTTACGGAGGGTTGCTAGTGGAGGTATTAAACCCCGCCACTGACCCCTCACTGAATCTGACGCGATACAAAACCAACCAACAGCTTTCGATCCAATACCTTGAAACATCACATTTCCTTTTGAGGTCATTTCCATTTTGGATAGCCTAAAGTCAAATTCTTTCGCCTTCCAGTATGCCGTCACCAATTCGAGCGAAACACCTAAAGCCTGGTGACAAAATCGCATTCATATCACCATCAGAGCGTATCAACGCCACGCTTCCAGCAGTCGTAGACCGAGCCTCTGCTCTTCTCACAAACAAAGGATATCAAGTGCAGACTTTCTTCAGTGAAGATAAGGGCATTCAATCGTGTATCGACAACCGGCTGTCCGAGATCAGAGCCGCTTTCTCAGATCCCAGCATCTCCGCCATCATCACTACCATTGGCGGCACAACCTTCACAGAACTTCTTCCGGCTCTGATTACGGACAAGGAACTTCATGAGACCATTCGCTCAAACCCGAAGATTGTCGTGGGCTACTCCGACATCTCGGGCTTGCACTGGTTCTTGTATGGCTTGACGGGTCTGAGGACTTTCTATGGTCCTGGTGCTGTGCCCGAGATTGGGGAATCGAACGATGTCAACGACAAAGATACCCCTCTTGCCTTCTGTGTCGATAATTTGCTTCGGGCGATTGCATCTACAGAACCACTCGGACAGATTTCCCGATCCAAGTTTTACGCACCAAGAGGAGCCCCCTTCTTTACGACACCAGAATCGACAGAGCCACCAGAGGTTGTGAAGACGACCGACTGGCAATGGCTTCGACGTGGGAAGGCTCAGGGTCGATTGTTTGGTGGTTGCCTCACCGTAGTCGCCCGCTTATCGGGGGTTTCGGCCATTGTTCCTGATTGGCGCGGCCGAATCGTCTTCCTCGAAACAGCTACAAATGAGGACGGCTCTGGCGGAAACCCTCCTCACCGAGTTCAGGCAGCCTTTGCAGACTTGATAGCTCACGGTGTCTTCGAAGAGGCTGCAGGACTGGTTGTAGGACGACCTTATGGATATGATTCTGATGCAGAGCGAGAGGTTTATGCCAGCATCATCAAAGGACTATTTTGTGAAGGGCGACTTGCGTCAAAGAACTTCCCGATTCTATTCAATGTGGACATTGGACATACGACACCAATGGTTACGCTGCCGTATGATGCTTTGGCTGAGCTTGATTCCGAGACTGATACTTTTGCTGTTTTGGAATCTGGAGTTGATTAGCGGAAAGAGTTGAATAGTATAATACGACTAAGCTGCTCGCAATATTTGATCGTATCTAGGAGTAGATTAAGCTTTATCTATGGCTTCGCTTCAGACCCAACTCTCAAATACCGTACCACTAGATTCCCCTTTCTGCCACAATCAATCGAACATGACACCCCAGTGTGCTTTGCTTGTTGGATCTCCATTCCCGTGATATCTAGAGGATCACCGTGCGTTCACAAGGACATTTAGGTAGCTGAGTTGCCGCACAGGACCAGCCAAGAAACAAATCTCATCTTCTGTGGAGTCGGGAGTCTTTTGTCTGATGTTCTTCTGTGTAAAAGGCGCGGCGCGGCACAGCCATATTTGGTGACGACGTGCCTCTTGGGGGACTGAGGAAGCAGGAATGTGCCTTGAAGGTAGTAATTTGCAATGTGACTCCTGTGGAGCCAGTTGCTGTCGAAGTTAATGGACCTCTTTGTCGAGACAACCGTGCTCTCAGCCTTGGTGGGGGGTTTATTTTACAGTTAAAGATTCGAAATTCCGGCCGACTAGGTTTAATATCCATCGGCTCGAAGGGCAGCTATGCCAGTGACCATTGTTAAGACGAAGAGAACGCAGATCGATATGATCAATATGGCTGAATATTGAGCCCATTCTTCATCGTCGAATTTTCGTAGATCTTTGGTCCAGTCTGGCATGTTGATGGTGCCTGCTTGAACTAGGCATGCGAGAGCAAAAATCGAAAGGACAATGAGAGTCCAAATACATATCCAGATGTTGAAAAGAGCCCTCGAGAGAGGGGAGTTTCTAACTTGATGCATGTTGGCGTATGCAATTTACTAGAGCGAGGACTTAATGCACAAACAAGAACTGATTCGAAGTCGCAAAAACAGACATTTCAAAGAAAACAAGTATCGTTACCTGTTATTTTGACACGTTAATTATGGCGGTTATTAATACTTACATGCCGTGGCTCGGAGAATATTAACGACCCGCGGCCCTTGCACGGTTTGATTGACGAGCTGTCAGCGCTAGACATGTGGGGCGAGTCCGAGCCAATCTAGCGAGACCAACGTCAAGAAATCTGCCTTGAAACGTGCGATGCAGTTTTGTGAGACATGAAAGAAGCCGCCAAATTGGCAATACGAAATGACTCATCTCCAATAGCATTTTACGTAGGTCCGGTCATTCCGGGGCAAATCTAGCAGTTCCCAGAAGGGAGGAGAGAGCTTATCAGGGTCGGTAGGCGTCCTTGCGTGAGAAGCCCTGTGCCTAGATAAAAATGGCCAGCTTCAACATCAGGACATCTCGTATGTCACTTAGAATGTCGACCATGAGAGTAAACTAAGACAGACATAGAAGGAAAAAAAGAAAAGTGCAATGGCAACTAGCAATTAGAGTGGGAGTAGAGCTTTTGTTGCTAAAATACAATAAGTTTACTGTATGTCGTTATGCGCAGCAAAACCAAGCTGGCTATATAATCCAAATTCACTGAGCGCCTATTACATAAGCTCAAGCAAAGCAGCTTGGCGCAGTGGAAGCGCGGTATGTTCTTCTCCACAGTGAGAATTCAAAACTCGTACTAACTCATCCCAGCCGGGCTCATAACCCGGAGGTCACTGGATCGAAACCAGTAGCTGCTATGAAGCATTCTTTTTTTTTGGGCTTTCTGATTATTTATCTTTAGTTTTCTTTTTTTTATCTGTCTATAATATTTTAAATATTAAACTCTAGCTAAATTATATTAGCTTACCTATATATAATTTCTCTATAAATTTAGAAATAGTATGGCCTTTATTTATATAATATAATAAGAAGACTGTTAGTTTTAATAACTAAAATTAAATAGGATGTAAAAAGGCCCCAATTAGGCTCCTACCGCTTATGGCCCGGCAACGGTTTGACAGCTGTCGATTGATGTTTTTAAGATTAATGGCGGTGATGCGCGCGTTGGCAGTGTCAGATCCACGTAGAAGTTAAATCTACCCATAGTGGTAAATCGCGAGCCATTAGCCGGAGAGTTAAACTCTTTGCAATGTTTCTATACGGCATATGTTTCCAAGGCTCGTGCTAACCTTTCAAAAGGTTACAAGATGACTTAACATTATTTACCTAGTACACCGCTGAGCAGGTTATGGCAAGAGCTAAGAAAGTCGATGAATATCCGACATAGGACTTGCAATTCGATGTAGGGTGAAGTCTTGAACCTAGAAAAGGGTCCAAATAGAAAGACTTTCTTATAAGACTCATTAGTAAACCCGTTTCTCGGCCGAGCATGCGCACTAGCGTTGTCCTAGCTAAACGTCAAGATGATCACATATCAACGTCAAGCTCCGTAGCTGAATCGCACCTCATCAGGGCCAGTTAAAAGCAAAAGAATTAACCGTCAGAACGGATCTGCTAATATCCGAGGAGCGGAGCCGTACCCAGCTTTTGGTCGCGAGATTTTCAGGTTTAGATGAATAACCCCACGGAGCAATGATACATTGTTCGAGCTTCTTATAGCAGAATATGACGGGCTACAAAAACTAATTTGAGTCAGGATAAACCTTTTCACCATGAATAACAAGATTCTATCTTTCAATCCTCGATGCAGGGGAGAGCTAGTCGACTTCACAGATGACGATAGATGTCTTATATGGAGTCAAGCACGTTGCAGCTGTTATTTATCATTTTTGCGACAATGATCGAACCCACATTTGAGCCTCAGCCAAGGAATCGATTCTCAGATCTATGATAAGATCGTCATTCTGTCTCTTGCCGCGATTCTCGGCGCAAGACAGGAAAATCTGGGTCATATCCCCTGCACTTGCAGGAAGGAAACATTTTGGTCCGTTTCCCATCACCATCTAGGACCAATCATCAGAGAGTCTTTTGAAATCCTCCACATTCTCATGATGATCGACATGGCTGAACCGGAGAGCTTTACCCTTTACAAATCTCGCCAGGATGTATTACCAGAATAGACCTAGGAAATCGATAGTTTGACTTTAGTGTCCCTTACAACAGCCAGTCGTAGTGACAATGACAGAATGACCAGCAAAAGCACATATTACTTCTCTATAGAGGAGGTCTTTTTTGCTTCACCAAGCTTTGCATCATGTTTTCGAGTACGTCAGATACCATCATAGTATTCATACAAGCATATTCAGGGAGAACTCCGTTAGTGGATCTCTAAACCGCCTATATAATGCCTCAGATGTATTCTTGTTGTGCCGATCGCCATTCAGAAGATACCTGACTTCAAGGCGATTCACATCGGGTTCTCGACATGCGTTTCTTTGTTCTCATTGCCGCGTTTTGCGCCCCCTCGGCCCTTTCATTCCCTTGGTTGGCACCGGAGGGATTAGATGCACTGCTCAACCACCCGGAAGCGCGTGTAGAGATTGACCGACGCTTGAAAGAGTACCAAGTCAGTCGAGAAGAGAAGAGACATGAGCCCCGACAGCTCAAGACTGGCGCCGTGGGTGGCGTTGTGTCCTTGCTTGGAGGCACCGTTGAAGCTGTCGTTGACAATGTCCTGGGCCTGATTCCTACCAACAAAGCCGTCAAGGGTCTGCAGAAGTTCCCTGAAGCCTCTCACCCGTTCAAAGCACCTGGAAAAACTGACCAGCGAGGCCCTTGCCCTGGTCTCAACACTTTGGCCAACCACGGATGTGAGCTGGAAAATTGACGGACTGGCGAATAGGCAGCTGACAATTAACAGATATCCCCCGAAACGGTATCGCTACGATCGGCCAGATCCAAGCTGGTACTGCGAAGCTCTTCAATATGGGTGCAGATCTTTCCGCTCTCTTGGCTGTTGGTGGTGCTGTCGACGGTGGCGATATTCTGTCTCAGAAGATGAGCATCGGGGGCCCCGATGACCGTGTCGGCCTTCTAAATGGCGCCCTGAGCAAGATCTTTGGCAAGCCATCTGGTATCGCTGGACATGGTAAGCGATCAATCTCAAGACCATATTCCATGAAAGTCACTAATGATGTGTGCAGGAAAGTTCAACGAAGGCGACGCGTCTGCTACACGTGAGGATTTCTACCTCGACGGAGATAACATATCATTCAAGCCCGAGCTCTTCAAGCAGATGCACCAGCAGGCTCTTGCCAAGGGTGATGGCACTTACAACGTCGATGCGATCAAGGAGCACTTCAAGAACAGATACAGAGATTCCAAGGCTGCCAACAAGCAGTTTTACTTCAATCTTCCAAGTGCCGCAGTTGTCATGGGCGCATACTATTTCGTCCCTGGTTTCTTCTCAAACGGCACCATTGGTGCGGGCGGTATTGCCAATGAAGCTTCCATCACCTCTTTCTACGGCGCCAAGCCGAAGCGCAAGAACGCTTGGAAGGATAAAGATCTTGAGTACACCCATGTTCCTGAGCGCATTCCGGAGCAAGGCTGGTACCGACGTGCGACACCCATGACTATCCCTGAGGCAGTTGGCGGCATTCTTGATGTGTATCTCTACGCTCAGCCAGCCTTGGGAGGATCTGGTGCTGACGGTAGCTGGGTTGTTGGTCCACTGGACTTGCCCAAAGACCCTCAAGGCTTGAGCTGCTTCCTGTATAATGCAATCTTCGCTAACTTCCCGGCTGAGCTCTTCAACTCCGTGAGGCTCTTGCAGTCCATTGTCAATGGTGTCTCGGACGCTCTTGTTCCAGGGTACAAGGCTCTCGGCTGCAAGGTTAATTTCCCTGATGCCAAGGGATCGTCGGCGAGTAAGAAGTTCGCCACGTACGAAAAGAAGTACGTTGGTCCTGCCAAGACAAAGGCTGTAGGCAGTGGATGGTATCAGAAGTGAAGATAGTTATTTGTTCATAAGTACCCGTTTTATGTATCCAGTCATAGCATCGGTCGTGGCAACTCGTGGAACCGCAGGATGAGATTTACCCTTGCACGCGGGACAGTCAAATGAAGCTAGTAGACGGCTGTCCAACTGAGGTGAATCGTTCAGACTGGGGAGCATCACGCTGCAGCCGAAGAGGTTTTCATGGGTTTCATCTTTGGCCCTGTCTCTGATAGTCCCTGAAGCGCAGGTTCATGCAATGGCTAACAAGTTTGAGGAGATGCTTGTGTTTGATGAGTTGGTCAATAAGAATGCATGCTAGCAGACAGCTTCGCAACATTGTACAAAAACGTCCAATTTGGATGCATCAAACGTCATTTAGCCCGCGATAAGATCTTAATCAAGCTAGATAAAAATTGAGAATTATGCTTATTGGGTGTTAAATGCTGACTCACGTCATCTTGCACATCCAAGTTTTGTTGGCCCGACGGAAACTCCGCAGTCCGAAAGCTATCGGAATCTGAAAGGCGCCAGGAACTCCATAATCTCCCTGGCTTACCACTAGTGATCAACGACGAGATATTGAGAATACGACAGGACGAAATGTCGGCTAGTACCTCTTCCAAAGCTTCTGGTGTGAGAAGGAGAGCTTGTGTCAATTGCACCTCTGTCAAATCGAAATGCCTGCCATTCTCATCTGACGAATGCCAGCGGTGTAATCGGCTTGGTAAGCGGTGCACTTATCTCAACGTTATAGAGAAGCGAAAGAGTCCCTCCAGCTCCTCGTATGTCTATGAAAGTAGTGGCTTTTATTCAGATATGTTAACATCGCTTAGTCGTACACGGCTCCTCGAGCAGCGACTGAGTAGGGTTTTGGCTCTGCTTGGTGCCCAAGCTCAGGGTACACCTATGAGTGGCTTCGTTGCACAATTAGCTGCTGGAGACCTCAATATGAATGTGATAAATGGCAGCCAGCTTGACCAATTGCCATTGTCTCATGGCTTAACACTTCAAGGGACGCTAGATGTCGTCGATCGCGGGTTTCTCAACCTGACTGAAGCGCAGAGCCTGCTTGACAACTATCGTAGCAAAGCGATCGAGCACTTCCCTTTCGTTCCGATCTCTTCTGAGACTACGGTCGCTTCTCTCAGAACTACGAAGCCCTTTCTATTCATGTGCATCATGGCAACAATGAAATTCGACAATTGCAGTATCCAGCGCCAAATCGGTGAAGAAATCCGCAACCAAGCACACCAGCGAGTTTTGATGCAGTCAGAGAGCACTCTTGAAATTCTGCAAGGTCTCTTGATCTACCTGGCATGGTACCAGTACTTCTTCATCAGCTACGAGAAGCAGCAAATTGTTCCAATTGCACAATTGTGTATTTCACTGGTTCAGAACCTCGGGCTCGATCAGAACCCTGACAATATGAGACGAAAAGTTGATCTTGGGCCAGACGAAACAGCCCCTGGACGCAAGGCTGCACGGTCTGCAGATCAACTTCGGGCTTTGCTTGGAACATATTGCACGGCATCTTGGTAAGTATGAAAAGATCGAGGATCATCACTGGGAGGCAGACTAATGGTTCAGGGTTTCTATCAAGTTTCGGACTCATGGCGCTTTACCATACACAGGATACATCAAGCAAAGCTGGGAACTCCTTCTAGCCAATGCAGAATACCCTAGTGACCTTATGATTCCCCATTTTGTCCGTATAAGCGAAATGTGTCGTCGTATATGCGACACTTTTGGGTATGACGATCTCGAGAACTCAGGAATGAGGGGAGAATTTGTCAGTGCCATGGCTTTGCAGACCCTCAATAACGAGTCTGAATTGTTGAAAGCCTCCATTCCTCCAGATCTCCAGAACAACTGTAAGTCAACGTTCAAGATAGGCTAATGGCTTACTAAAGTACATCGACAGTTGCCATAAGAATGGAGGTCTACTTGCTTGATACTTTACTCGGTGAAGTTTCACTGCATGAGGACTTTTGGGATACTACATCGACTTCTAACCTCTTAGTAACTAATAATTCGTCTTCCTCAACAAGTACCAGGGTTTCCATCTTATTCAACCTTATTCTCAGCTGCAAGTCGCTCAACGACGCTGTGATAGTCTATCCGGACGAAGATCTCTGGTACATCACGTTTTATACAACGGCAAAAATTTGCAGAAGTCTCTTGTGTCTCTCAAATGCCAGCAAGATATCATCGGAGATCTTTAGAGAGACTGGACTTGCTTCCTACAATGCCCCTTTCATGGCCATTAGTTTTCCTGTTCACGACGCTATGGCCATTGAGAGGGTGGCTGACTTGAAGGGTGAGGCAAAGCGGCTGCAACGAAAATTCAAGAATCTGTCACCTCAAGTACAGAAAGTCGGTAATGAAGAAGACATCATGCTCGGATTCTCGGATATGATATGGGCAGTGGCAGTTGCGTATGAGGAAACGAAAAGACTGGAACCAAGCCTTTTGAGCTTTTCTATTGGGAGCGATGGACAGAACTCTTCTTCCGAGCTAGGTAGCTCGGAAGGCTATCTCTCGAGTACTGGCTCAGGAAATATGCAGCCTGAAGCAGTGCTAGACTTTGGTCTGATGGAAGATGAAACTTGGGAAGAGTTGTTGGCTGGGATTGCTATCGTAAATGACCCGGCATCATCGCTGCAAGTATGAGAAGCTGTAATTACCAAGCAGATAGCATGCCCCTCAATTGACTGTTGTCGAGAACCTTGGCAAGAGAATTCTGTAAAGTCCGAATTGCTGCACCATCGTCCTTATATCCGCAATGACATATGCTGTCAGGACCAAAAGCCTTGGCTGAGGGTTCTCGCTTGCAAGCGATTGGCTAGGCAGTGCTTCAGTGGCTGACCGGCCGGAAATTCCGCCTGCGGCGAAGTCCACCAAAGCTTGGTAATAGCTGCATAGACCTTGTTGCGACAAACAGATATAAGATGGCTCAATTCTTGTGCATAAGACCTCAAAGCAAACTGCTCTTGTATCTTAATTTCAAGACGAAACCAATTAACAAAAGTTGATATCCCGCGTGTTCATTATGCCTCCTCCCAAAGGAACCCCCAATCCTCTCGAAGGGCCTGGTAAGCACGCACTCTTTGTATGGCTTCCTTTTCTTCATGAACTAACCTTCATGGAGGCGACTATGACGTTACCTCGGTGGTGCACTCCGATACCTATCCTGCCATCGACCCAAAGAACTTCAATTTCAAGGACAAGGTTGTTCTCGTCACTGGGGCATCTCGAGGCTATGGCCGAGCCATGTGTGCAGCCTTCGCACGAGCTGGTACCTCTCGCATCGTTGTTTCTTCTAGATCCGACATGTCAACAACCGCCGAGGCCATCAAGGCAGCGGCAAACGAAGCAGGCCATCCGGAGCCAGAGGTCCTAACCATCAAGGCTGATGTTGGGGTTCCTGAAAGTGTTGATGCTTTGGCGCAGAAGATCGATGAAGCCTTTGGTTATGTTGATATAGTGATTAACAACGCAGCATTCATGAAAATGGTGTCCATCCCTGACTCTGATCCTGCAGACTGGTTGCAGACCCTCACCGCGAATGTTTACGGACCCTATCTCGTTGCACGAGCTTTGGCCCCTCTGCTTGTCAAGTCGGAACTCAAGACTGTCATCAACATCAGTAGCGTCGGAGCTCACCTCGTGTCACCAACTCTAAGCTCATATCAGATCTCCAAGCTAGCACTTATCAGATTGACCGAGTTCATCTCGGTCGAGTACGCAGACAAAGGAATAGTCTCTTACAGCGTTCATCCAGGGAACTCCCCTTCGGAGATGTTGGGTGGGATCGAGGGAGTTCCCGAGGAATTGCGAGCAGGTCAGTCCGTCGATTTGAATCCTCAGGATCAGCTACTAACAGGAAGAAGCCTTTGTTGACACTCCTGCGCTTTGCGCCAACTCTTTGGTTTATTTGGCATCGGAAAGGCGACCTTGGCTGGCCGGGCGTTACATCAACCTCACCTGGGATCTTCCTGAACTGATGACGAAAGAGGAAGAGATTGTCAAGGGCGATAAGCTCAAAGTTCGTCTTGTGACCTGATTAGATACTCGCTTGGGAAATGCACAATGTTCAACTGCGGGATACATCATGCACTTGAGATATTCGAAACAAAAGTGACTGTCTAAATTGTGTGGAATAATTATTACGTATGTAAATCTATCGAGGGGTATGTTCAAACTTCTATGTCATCAATCCGTACAAATACACTTTTAGCAAAAGTCCTATCACTTGGCCAAGTGATTCCTTTATTGTTGCTTACCCTCAGCAGTGTTAAGATTCTCCAACTGATCCAAGCATCTCTTTCGGATACCGAAGAATGCTGTCACATGTCCGACAACCCACCAAGCAAAGAGAATAGGAAGCCCAATGTGAAGGGAGTTACCGCAACCAGACCAGACCTGGATTAGGATGATCCATAATGAATGAGCGGGGAAAAGGTAGCCAATGCGGTAGAATCCAGCTGTAAGCTCAAAGGGGAACACGACGGAGCCAACATTCATCATGAACCAGGTGAGGAGAAAGAAAGGCGTTAAAGCCATGGGGATGTAGCTTCCAATCAGAGTTTCCAGTACCTGGAAGTTGACATCCATGAAAAGCCAGAAGGTCAACCAGGATAGGGCAAACTGTCCACCAGAAACAGCCCAGTCTTCGCGGAAGGCCCAGATATAGCCCGTGACGATCAAGGCATAGAGTGCAGAGAATACCATGCCGTTGATGAAACGCATGATGAAGAGATCGCGGATGCGCATGTTCTTGTGAAGGCCGAACTTGTCGTAGATGCCGTTCATGGCGAGGACATAGAAGAACTGGCCAAGGATAGCCATGACAATGTTGATGGTGTTGTAGAGGTTTCGGCTTCCTTGGTTGGTGGGCATGATGATGTCGGCGGTACCTTGGATGGGGTTGAGATATGCTTCGACGGCAGCCGGGTCACTGCTGTTGACACTTCGCAGAGCAGATCGACCCTGTTGGGACTGGTAGTAACTACCTCTAGCAGCGCTAATGATCTTTTGCAAGTTGGGTACCAAGTATCCCGAAGCGACAGTGGGGTACCGGGCGCTGTTGTAGATATAGGTGATGCTGTCGGCAGGGTTGTAGTTCTCAGCAGCAGAGCCGCCTTCATAAGCAGCAGCAAGCTTATCAGAAGAGCCCTTGTTGATGTAGATAGCACCCCAATAATCGGCGTGGCAGACGCCATGCTTGACATCCTTTGTCTCGGGGTAGTCATCGGCGGATCGAAACTCAAGTGTAGGGAATGTCTTGCCCTGGAAGTTCTTGTATGCGCTGGAGACAGACTCTCCAACAGCACCACCATCATAGTCGACGACTAGAATCTTCAGGCCTGATACTCGATTACCGACCTCGAATGTGGAACCGAAGACGTATGAAAGGTCGGCGAGGAATACGACGAGAATGGCGACCATGATTCCTGTGAGGATCTTGACGACAAGACCTCTTCGGCCGTGCCATGTTGTTGAGTTGATGCCATGTCGTTGTGTGTCCTCCATGACGGCCGGCTCGTCGTGTAACGTGGGAGCAGGGGAGGATGATTGTTGTTCTAGATCGACTGTCATGCTGAAGGTTGAACTGAACGAAAGGGGTATGTGATGTTGAGATGCAGGGGCTGAAGGAAGGGTTTTAAAGAGTCAGGCCACGATTAATGGAGACCGGTAGTTATTTTTGTTTATCTGTCTAAGTAATCAATGGATCCGAAATTAAAACAATCGTGCGACGCTTGCATATCTAAATAGCCAGATCCATCTGATAGATGGTGCCATGTTATTACTATGGCCGCATCTTCTGGACTTCTGAGTTCCTCCGTCGTAGGTCGGAAATCTAGACAAGTCCGAGCAGCGAGGCCTGAGTCAATCACCCGCTAAACCCTATGGGGGCCTCGCGTAGGGGCCAGGGCGATCATTAGCTGCTAAAAACCGGGGCCAGCTCGCGTCGCGACGTGGCCGACACGCCGACTTTGCGCTAAGATAACTGTGATTACAAAAGATGCCCACTAGCACCTCAAAATGTGACTGGAAGGATTCGCTCCTTGGTGGGTTTTGCGGATAATTCTAGATAAGCCGGTCGGCGTTGCGCACTTTTCTTCGCCGAGCGAGATATTGATTCATCAATCAATCAATCAATCTGCGATTACGTGAGATCCTCGCTGTATTCATTTACGTCATTTTCTTTGTTATGAGCGAAGCAGATGACCGATCTCAGCTGCTCATTTATTGGTAACCTGAAAAACTAATGCTGAATATTGCCTCGCATTCATCGCACAAGACATACCTCTGACATAATTCCGTGTTGCACAATTTCCAACGGACAACAGCCCTTTAACTCCGTGTGACACCTTATCAAGCCCCGTACGTGGTTTGTGCAGCACTGCAGCCTGTACTCCGTATTCCTCCTTACCTGACGTCGTAAGGAATACAAACCCGTAATGGGGTAGCCAGTTTATATACACGTATTCTCGGATATTTGTGCCGGTATTGATGACCTGGATTGTGAACATTGAATATTAATATTGCGAAGCATACGAGTATTTGAGTTCGTGAGACGTGGGCAATACGCGGATCCACGCCATGGTTCACCCCGGTACCACCAAGTAATTCTTCAATAGCTTCCCTATGCCGCTTACTAGCTGGCAGTCGGGAGCAGCCCTACGTTGGCTGAGAAAATGCACGCCTGTAGGGTAGTTTACTCCATTCAGGCTACCCCATTTGTTTGGAGAGTTATTCATTTGCACCGTGTTACTGTCAATTTAATACAATACGTTTTCAATCGCTGAACAAGGCCTATTATGAACGGTAACGTGTTTTTTCTACTGAGTTAGTGGTGGGCAATCGAGCTTCAGTTCCTACTTGGAATTGTAAGCGGAACCGTTGAATGAAACACCAACTAGTACTTTTACCTTTTCCTCCTCCGTATTCCGATAACATCGAATAGCCACCCAATGGGTAGACAGCCAGAACTTTTTGTTGCACTTGATCTGTCTTCTCACGAGGAGGTTTGGTGCAGGTTACAATTTCCAACTCGTGATGGTACGCCACGAAGCCCATCGTTGTATATACTCTGAAGCTGATCGGCGTCGCCCATGGAGCAGTAGCTCCGATTTCGCTAACTTGAAATCAGTTGAGTAATTTTGTTGAGTTCTACAAGCACTTTCTTACATCAAGCCGAAGTTACAGGCTATTCTCAACTGTGAAGCTTCGATGAGTTGGCCCAACCCAAACATGGCACGAGTGCGTGTACATCATTCAAGATCATCAAGATGCACACGCCTTCAAGCGATCGATTGACTAATTGTAATCTGTCATAGGCCTTTTCTCAGCCCCACGCTCCCTTACTCTGAATTAAAACGATAGATCACAATGAATGTTGGCGATCGATGTAGAGTTCCGTACGTCTACCGTAAATATCACCTATCACATCCGACCACTCTCAACCCATCGGAGGTTTTATGGAGTTAAGGTTACAGCTAGCCGTTTCGCTGCAACTTGCCAGCTGTCACATTCGTCGACCATGCAGCATGTTCAGACTGCCAACCAACTCATGCAGAGACATTGGCGGGTTCTGACGGCCAAGTTTCCCTGTCATAATTACCGTAATGTGACATAACAGCAGAGACATCGATGGGGGCATCATGCCGCTTCATCAAATGACCAGGAGAGAGGGAAGAGCTATTGGCTTGCATCACGAGATGGTAGATGGAGCTGAAATATGTCCCCACTGCGCCCAAGTCCAGACCTGCTGGTCTGAGGCATATTACATGAAAGGTCTCATAAGATGCAGTAATTATATGGAGCTCAAGTTATCAATTCAGAATTTGGCTGAAAACTCAAGGTGCGATTCGTGCAGAATACAAATTTTGCCAGCCGGGACTAACTTTGCCTCCAGCCTCCTCATATTAGCTTCTTAAGTAAACTTCCGCTCGCAACGGGCCGCTCGATCTAGATCCCGACAGGCTATGCAACTGGCAGCCCCCCTAACGCACTGGTTCAGTGCCAAGCTGACACTCGGATTACCGCTGAGGGAACTCCGCCTTACCGACATCCGCACCACTGATATCCGCAGATCCAAGACATTGGGGGTCCGAACGCTGCTCCATTCCGGTTTTGTGAGCCAAGAGACAGTACAAGCTGCCATGGCAGCTCCCGCATTTTCTCATTTGGACGACTTGCAGATTCGATGCGGAGCTGTCATGATTGGCAGTCCATTGACGAATGTCTCACCCCGTTGATGTTGGTTGTGATGAGATCGTCAAGGGAGGAGTGTTGCGCCCTGTTACGATGAAGGGATGATGGATGCCCCGCAAGAGGATTTTCGTATCCCTCAAGTCGCGTGCTGTATGCGAGTCGATAGAGATCAGCAGCCAGTCGACCCTCTTACTTCGGGAACAAGTAACGGCTTGCAGATCACTTACACTGTGTCACTCATCTCCCAGAAGCTGTCACTATGGAACCTTCGACGTTGAGACAGGACGTTGGCTCTTGGGTGTCGATCAAAATGATGCAAGGATGGCGAAGAATGGATCGGTACTTGCCGCCTGACGTGCGGCTGAGGAAAGGGGATCCTCCTGTTGTCTCACAACTAGAATGTCTTGTGGGGGTTGGAGATCTGCGAGCAGGTTATTGAGTAAAGTTCTGTTTTCAAAAGGCAGTTCTTCTACAGAGCACTAGTCTGCCGCAGCAACAGCAACAGTCATTAGAAGACATGCAACACTTGGCAAAGCTAAAGGTAGCTAAGGAAGTGATGTTTGATTGTAGATGCAGCTCGAAACCTTGGCTGATGTACGTGTGACCAAAACCAAAGTTTTTCGAAACCTCATTTTCTGACTTCATCCAGAATCTGTCTCACCGCCTCCAAGATGTTCAAGTCAAGGGTCAAGCAGTGAATGGTCCGGTCCATTCAGAACAGCCCTTTGCCCTGATCTCCATCATATCAACCGTTGTTGTTACTTTGACAGACGCCTCTGACATAAATGGCAGCGGCAGGTCTCAGAATAGCAAGAGTTATCATGAAAGTTGCCAAGTTGAGATATCACATACCAGACAATTTATGCTTCCGGCCCAACGCGGTAAGACAAACTTAATCGCCTGGACGTTGAGCCCGTGCAACTCCACGCATCTTCGCACGGTTATGAGACGACTCTGACATGTTGGGACTACCAATATCCCATGATAAGTAATGTATCTTTCGTGATATTCAACACCGCGGAATGACGACTGTGTGAGATATTCGGCCAGCCTCTCATGACTTGTGTTCAGACACTCACCAAGAATGTGGTCACTGAGCAGGGAGAAGACATGGCTTTGGGAACTTCTTGTATTGATTCTTTCAGAGTTTGGATATCTATAAAAGCCCTGCTTCGTCCCTCCTCATCAGTTCATCCTCATCACTCACAATCACACTCTTCTATCACAACAATCAAACAATCATTAAACCCCAGATCTCTCAGATCCCCCATAACCATCAAAATGAAGGCCTCAATCATCCTCGCTCTTCCCGCCCTTGCCATCGCGGCTGCTACCCCTCAGATGGAGGAGCGACAGCTCCCGAGTCTCTTCGACCCTTCTTGTCTTCTCCAGATCACTGGTATCACCAGGTGTCTCCCAAACCTCAGCCTCGACAGCATCATTGGAATTGTCGACGTCATTGGCTGGTAAGTAAATCGCTACTGCTTGATTCCGGTGCTAAATATTCCATAGCCCTCTTAGTCTCGCTGGCCAGATCGCTGCTTGCCTTGATGTTTCCGTTCCCGGCACCAAGTAAACGGACTCATAAACAATCATTCACTTCTTGGAGGATGGGTTGACTATTATGTCATGGATAGGAGAAAAAGCCTCACCCAAATCAGATACTTGAATTGACAATCTTGAGGCACAATCTTTTGTTCAGGACACTTGTGAGCTGTAATTCTGAAAGAGACGTAAAACAGCCAAAGCATAGATATTGGCCCCTTCAATTGTAATAAGCTCGCACTTGAAATCAGCTGTTGATAAGAAATCGAATGCCTGTCAATATTGACTCTTCAATTGGGATTCCTACATATCGTTAATGACATCTCTGAACACCAACATCTCAACACTGGTTTTTGCCTTCAAAGACAGTAAGGAGGATTGGGAAGAGGTTGGCGACACAGATTGGCTTGAAAAAGTTACAGACTGGAAGGCGCCTCAGATTCGCGCTGAAGCTGAAAACAAATGCAATTTTACTGGCCTTGCGAGACTTGTCCGAAAATGTCCTCGACTTCAAGACTTTGCATACCAACCCCTTGGAATTCCCCTCCCCGGACTTCCTGAACTAAGAGACTTCCAATTCCCCAACTGGAAGATCCTGCAATACGTCTTTACGTCTCAGAACTCCCCAGCCTTGCTAAACTCAATCGATGGACATTAAGATTCCAACTGACAAAGGAGTCGATCGTTCTCAACCTTCTGAAGCGGACTCGGCCTGGAGGACTGTTCATAGAACCTATGTGGCTAGACCCTGGAAAGTTTAAGCCTATCTTCGTATTCTGCAGCAGCCCAGAGTCCAAGAAGCAAAAGTTTGAGGTTAGAGGACCTATTTACCAGATGGGTCCAGAAGAGCGTGGCCAAGTTCACTTTCAACGTCAGTCGTACGATGAAGATGCCGAGTGCTGCGCGCACTTGATAAGACAGAGTGAAGGTGTCAGGCGTCCTATTCACTTAAATCCGCAGGAATTTATCGAGGCCGGAACATCGTTTTGTAATTTGTTGCTATCCAATTGAGGGCGTTTAATAGCAGTCAGGCTCATGCATTCTAGCGCGCTCTAATTTAACGGAAAAGTCTTTCGATCTGTTTCCATGTACTTGGCCTGAGTAGAGATCTCGGTAGCCGTATACGATTCAGGATCTAGTGATGATAAACTTGATTTCATAAGCTAACAGGATATCTCAATTCCAAAGTGCTTCATAATGCGCCAAAATACCTAAGCCGCTCTCTTCTTGCCCTCCTCGACAGCTAACTCAACTCCCTTGACTGTCTCATCGACTTTCGACAGGAAGACGGAGTGCGATGCTTTTGAGTGAAATTGCACGGCATTCGGACCCAGCATACCTGCCATTTGCTCTTGCACCACGGGGAACAGCGCTTTGTCCTCGTCACAGAAGAAGTACATGGTCTCGATATCGTGCCACGGCTCGTATGTGACAGTGTCTGTAAAAACACGACCTGATTGGTGCTTGAGCGTCTTCATGGCGCTTTCAAGTGCCTCGCCACTTAGGTCATGGTAGAAGATTTCCTCTGGGGTGTCTGCGTACACATAATCTCCCTGCCGATGATTAGTATAGGGTCCGCTCTCGCGAAAATGCTTGGGCTTGCTTACCTTGGGGTTCATCCAGGGCAGAAATTGGCCGCCGAGCATTTGCTTGATGCTCAGGCCGAGGGGTGTCACGAACGCGGCTAGGTACACGAACATGATGACACCACCGGGAAGACCTTGTTCCTTGCGTTGCCGGTATCCTAGCCCCTTCACAGCATTGGCACCGACCAAACCACCATAGGAGTGGACAACGAGGACGATCTGTTCTCCTTTGTCGGCTAGACGCTGAAGGACAGTCCGTACAGCGTCGGCATCATCATCAAGACCCTTGGTGGGAGGCTCAGCTCCTACAGATGGATATTCAACAGCTTCGGTTGTCCATCCCCGGCTGTGAAGGGCCTCACGAATGGGGTCAAAGCAAGAGGCCAAGTGCCAGGCGCCTGGGGCAAATACAATGGTAGGGTTAGAAGACATCTCGGAAAGAAAGTTTAGATGATGTAGTAGAATCTGGGGTAAACCAGGTTGTTATCGGGACGGCTTTTATACACACGGGTCACTGAACTAACGCATATTCGGGGTATAGCTAACCCCTTTCCTCCCCCGTGGGGTATGGGTTGCTCGAATGCCGGTTCTAGATGGTTGAGATCTGCTGCAATCTACCATTTTTGTATTAGATATCTTCTTTGGAGCTCTTTTTCTGCGCCTTCAAAGCTTGATTGTTAGCTGTAAACGGAGCTTAGTTGGCTTCCATTCTTTAGCTTCCGAGAATGCCCTCCTCCGATAGGCCAAACACGCCGGATATCTCAAGAAACCTTCATGAAACCCAGCATCCGAACCTGATAGTGGCCACGTGCCGTGTCTCCAGCTTGAAACTCAGTCCTCGTCCAATACCGTGCGGCTGATTTTGATCTAGAAGATCGACTCAGAAACTACCGAGTCAGTCTCCGCGGAAGCAACGTGGAGATCTTCCCCGCAAAGGAAGCCCCGAGCTCAAACTCCAAAAGTGTCGGAAAGCAGCGAGTGGGGATCGGAAGCCGGGTGTTCCCCAACTTCTTGGCTGTTTCTTGGTTTTTTTGGTCTGGAAGAGTCGGATGCGTCTATGACGGCAGAACGGGGACTAGCTAGCTTTACGGAGTGAGCAAAAGCATCTTCACTCCTTATTATTAAAAGACCTACAACTACTCGTGGCCTTGTGTCAATTTGCTTCAATCATATTTCATTCTTTAATCATCATTTACTAATCAACATGGCTATCTCGTCAAACACCACGAAGCCATTCGACATTGCCATTGTCGGCGGTGGTATCGCCGGTCTGACTCTAGCTATCGCCCTTCACCATCGCAATGTGCCCGTTATGCTCTATGAGCGAGCCGATAACTTCCACGAGATCGGCGCAGGTGTCTCATTCACTCCTAATGCCGTGCAAGCGATGAAGATGTGCCATCCTGGCGTACACGACGCCTTTCTCAAAGTCTGCACCTGGAATGGCTGGGAGTCCAAGCGCAAGACCTGGTTTGACTTCCTAGACGGCACCACCGAAGATGACAAGGTGGCTTTCAGCATCAAGACTCCTCTCGGCCAGAACGGTGTTCACAGAGCTCAATTTCTCAACGAGCTTATCCACCTTCTACCTTCAGACAAGGTGCAGTTTAACAAACACATTGATAACGCAGTGGAAGAGCCTAATGGCAAGGTTCGCATGAGCTTTTCCGATGGCACAACGGCACATGCCGATGCTCTGATTGGCTGTGATGGCATCGGATCTCGCGTCCGGAGGATCCTTTTTGGAGAGAACCATCCATGTGCAAGACCCCGATATTCTCACAAGTATGCCTATCGTGGTCTCATCCCGATGGACAAGGCCATTGAGGCTGTCGGTGAGGAGAGGGCACGAAACGCATGCATGCATGTAAGTGGATGGTCTGTCTGCGATACTGAACATGATACTGACTACTCAGATGGGACAAGATGGTCATGTCTTAACCTTCCAAGTCAACCACGGCGAGAAGCTCAATGTTGTCGCGTTCCGCACAGATCCAAATGAGTGGAGTGATCCTACAAGGCTCACCAAGACAGCGCACCGCCAGGATGCTTTGGATGATTTCAAGGGTTACAACAGCACCGTGACAAACCTTTTGAAGCTAACAGAAGAGACGCTCAGTGTGGTATGTCCAACATTCAGCATACATGCCGATCAAATACTGATATTTGCAGTGGGCCATCTTCGACCTTGGTGACAACCCCGTCCCATCATTTTATAAAGGGAGGATAGCTATCCTCGGCGACGCTGCCCATGCTACAAGTCCCCATCACGGTGCTGGAGCTGGTTTCTGTATAGAAGACAGCGCAGTCATGGCAGAAATTCTTGCCGATGAGCGTGTACAAAATTTGTCAGATATCGAGGCTGCATTTGCCGCTTATGATGAGTCGAGAAGAGAGAGGGGTCAATGGCTTGTCGATAGCAGTAGGTTTGTTGGAAATGCGTATGAGTGGAGGGCAGAGGGTGTTGGAAAAGACATTCCCAAGATTGAGCAGGAGATCAACGAGCGAATTGGTGTGATTTCTAACATTGAGCTTGCGAAGTCATGCGAGACGGCCAGGGAGTTGTTGAACAAGAAACGAGACTAGACAGATACCTCTCAAATTCAAATAATCTTACACAAGGGACAATAGCCCATCCAATCTGATATCCAATATGTATTCACCAACAAAAGCTGTAAGCTTCCCCCTTTTTATGCTCAAGTTTCCCCTGCCATTTGTTTGCAGAACAGATAGATCATCACATCAGAAAGTTGTCACCTCCGCCACTGCACAAAGGGTTATCAAACTGAGCATAAGTTTCTTGTTGGGGTACTTACCTGAGTGAATGTTGTTGTCTCTGAGCCTTGCTCATTCTGGTGATATCAAACTCGTGTCCCCCGAGCTTGGTAGACCCCTTATTGTCCTTGAAGTCTCTGAGCTGGAAACCCGTCAACCTTGTCATTCTCAAAGCAACAGTGGGAAATCTTACTCTATCGTTCCACTTCACGTTATTCCACTTGCCCATACTCTGAGCCCATTCCTCTCGGTGATCTTTGATATCCTCATAATCCTTCTCAAAGTTATGTGGTGCGGTAAGTTTGATACCGGCTTCCTCGGCAAGGTCAATGATCTTGTAGATCCAAGACCAGTTCTCTTCCTCGACGCCATAATCCGACTGTTCGCGACCCCATCGGATAAACATGAAAAGAACAAGGCCAAGGTTACGGATCTCTGAGTCGGGCTTGAAGACGTCTTGCTTCTTCAGGGCCTCGATGGTAGCGAGGATGAGGGCGCCTACAACCTCGCAAGTCACTTGAACTCTTTCACCATCATCAATCACTAGGTGTGTCAGCAAGGACAATTCTTCTTTGGGATGAAACCTGAACTTACTGACGTATTCGAGCAGGCTGCCGCGAAGAATCATGGCAAGTCCTTCAACTTCAGGCCAGAAATCGCGATAGGTAAACTTTGGCTTGAAAACAAGGTTGAACTGGGCAATCTGTACCAGTCAGTCAAGCCTAGAAGGATCATGCATATACAAGGTACTCACGATGTTCTCCAATGCCTCCATTGCACCGTAGCCACCAAAGTCGTTGTAGATGTACAAGTCAAAGTCATCAGGGCTGCGCTTGAGACATTCTTGCTGCCACCACATATGACGATCAACGCCGCGCATGGTGAAGAACCAAGGCCACTCTGGGTGAAGTGATGCAAGCTTGTCGTAGGGCTTCTTCTCTTTATCTTCCTCGGCATCATTTCCAGTATCGCTTTCTCCTTCTCCCTCCTCATCTTCCTCCTCGTCCTCGTCCTCGTTCTCGTCCTCATCTTCATCCTCATCTTCATCCTCATCCTCATCATCGCTGCCACGTCGTTCAATCCGAGGAATGGGCATGCAGATGAAGTCCCAATCATCAGCGCCTTCGTCATCAGGGACAGTATCATCTTGCTTCATAGCCTCATCTCTCATTTTCCAGTTTGCAGTAGAGAGCTTAAGGGCCTTCTTATGAGCATCAAGCCAGGGGCCGTGGTCGTCCCACCATTTGCGACTGCCCAGAGTCATCTCGCGACCAGGCGTAGCGTCAATGGCAGCGATCCATCGTGAAGGCATGGGAATCGCTTCGATGGCTTTGGACTCTACACACTCACGAGGCATAAATTGGGGCATCATGGCCTCTCCCTTAGGGCCCCGGGGAATGTGACGCTTGCGCGAACCTCTGGGGGCCTGAGAGCTCTGACCTTGCTCCGCTGCCGGAGCGTCATTGGTTCGGGCGCTTTTAGATGCAGGCTGACCATTGTCGGGCCCATCGTACGAGCGTTTGTTCTGACCGTTGTTTGATCTTTTGGGAGGCATGTTGAATTGAATTGAGTGATGGTGATAACGCGAACTTACGCCACTGCCTAGATTCTCAGGGGCTCTCTATTCTAAGTACCGTGAAACTCAAATCTTGAACCCCGGCTGTAGATACGTCACTGGTACAGAGTAGCCACACAAAAAGCAATTCTGGTGTTTACATCTCGACGCGTCAAAATGCTTACCCTAGATGCGACGCGTGATCGTAAGAAATCCGCGACGACGAGGGAAGGATAACGGATTCAAATAGAGAGGGCTCAAGAATATCAAATTCTGTATGTTCTCTATTCCCTAGGTATTTGCCGGCGCTGGTGCTGTATTTGTGATTGTTGTTTTACGCATTTGCTCAAATTATTTTCCAAAGATAGGCTCCAACTACCACGGTTCACTAAAGGCATGAGGTTCCTCTGGCCTGTGCCATTATACAACAACGACTTTACAAAAGAAATGCCAGGTGATTTAGAAGTCACTGGGTTATCGAAGTTAAGTCTCAATAGTCATTCGCTTGCTGTCATAAACCGATCGCTCACTCCATTGCGACCCTCACACGTTGTCTTGGGCAATGCTTCGTCCCGCTATTGCACCATTGTCATTGCGCTCAGTGTCTCCATTGCTCGACTATTTCGGATCAACATTATTATTTGTATTCAATTCAAAGCTTGGATCTGGGATTCTTACCCTTAATACCAAGTGCCTCGGCCTCTTGAATTACTGTGGTCGGGGATATGCTCTTCCAAGCTTTCATGTTCTGATTCCCAGCCGAGGACCTTTCGAGCCCGATCAGCTCCGGCGCGCGCGTTCGTTCCCAACAGGACAGAGCCATGGGGAATGATGCTGTCTATTTCCTTTCCATCGAGGTTGTCAACTTCTGTGGTCGGAATGAGATTGAAGTCATTTGCAGCGACAGCGATGCGACGTGATATTTCGGCAAATGACTGTAACCAATCTGTTAGCACCAAGTTTCGCTCAGTTGGGAATGCAAAACCCACCAATTCTCCAGCACCCGTGAAAAAGAGTCCATTTGCTCCCCAAATGTTCTCATCTTGATTGCCCTCAACCGCCTTCTCAACCAAGCTGAGAAAGATGCGGCTCAAATCGGCGACGTGAATGTTTCCCCAGCGACTTTCACCAGAGCCAACCTGCAGACCCTTCTTGCGCTCCAATGTCGCTTTGGCGAGCCCGGGAATTTGTATGCTGCGCTGATTGCCGGGACCACGACCTTGGCCGTAAATGATGGGAGGAACAACAAGCGCTGTCTTTACATTCGAGCTTTGCTCCGAAACGGAAAAGACATAGTTGTCCACTGCGCGGCTTGGGTATTGCTTGATGAGCGACTTGATTGAGTCGATACCAGTGAGATCATTGTAAATGACATCATTGCCTGTACCAAAGACGCGCGACTTGTCGGCAAGCTCACCAGCCGCCAACGCGCTGGCGCCTGAGATTTGGATGTAGTATGGAGGTTTAGCACTATCAGGCCTTTTCGAGAGAGCTTCGTATATGGTCTGGACACTCTTCAAGTGGCCGGTGGCCGCGAGATCTGTAGACTGAGCATCAGTACAATCAATGCCTTGGGATTGGGGACAAGGATGTTGACGTACGGAGCACAACGTCAGCATCCTGGGCTTCCTGTGCAATAACATCTGTGTCGTCAAGTCCGCCAGTCACGAGCTGCACTTGACTGTAACTCTTGGTTATGGCCGCTCCCTTGGAAGCATCGCGAACCAAGGCTCGAACTTTGTATTCAGGGTGCGACTTCAACAGCGTATGGAGGACATCACCGCCAATGTAGCCAGTGGCACCGGTACTGTGTTTGTTTCCAGCGGGTCAGCTAAAGTTGCAGTGGGTGCGGGGTTGAACTAACAGGAAGATCTTGGTCATGGTTGATGTTTGTCGAGGTAGAAGCCTGTGATTGATGTTTGGTGTTTGTCACTTGCGAGGAGGGGAAGTTTGCATATTTAACTGCTTCTGACGATGTTCAACATGTGAAACTAGAAGTATTTATCGCAACTGGATTGCTTCATAAGCAGCTCTTGCAACAAACGGCTATTCTCGCGTCACCTTGAAAGTGCAGTTTAGCGGGGTACGCCCTGTATCCCAGGGCCGCCAATACTGGAAAGTGTCCCCGACGCTGTGAAAGAAATCGGATTACAAAGACGCTGCGGCTATTATCGTATTTCGTACGGAGTACTCCGTACGCTCACGGCTATTGTCGCAAACACCTGGAAATGACGACATCGGCTTGCCCAAATCAGGGTAAAGTCCAGAACACCAGGGAGTTCCGCGGACCAGCAGTAGCCAATCTGTCAACGTTCAGGATTGGAGAAATTATAGGCAGATCTTTGAGATGGACATGTAGTAGATATTGTAACAAGAAACGCGATTAAACAAATCAGAAATTATCTTTACGCCTGTTGTTTTGTGGCTCGAAGGGCTTCATCAGCTTTCACGTAGCAACTATCTCACACACTTCAAGCTGGACAAGCAGACAAAATAATGGATTGGCAATCCAGTATGAAGAGTTCTAACATTCAACCATTCTACAGATCTAAATAACAGCTCGCTCCATCAGAGGCTCATTGCGAGCAATCCGACCATAACCCAAAGCCGACAAGTCTAGAGTGCGAAACTCTCCGTACGTGATGAGCTCTGCGACACCTCTTCCACAAGCGGGAGCCTGTTGGCTTCCATGTCCAGAGAAGCCCACGCAGAATAACAGGTTGGAAACTTCATTATGCGGCCCGATGATGGCATTGTGGTCGAAAGTGTTGAACTCGTAGTGGCCCATCCACGAGTGCGTGACCTTTGCAGTGGAAAACTGAGGAACTCGTTTCTTGAGAACAGGCAGCATCTTCAAGTTCCATGCATCCTCCGCGTAGCTGAAATCATTGGGGTTGACAGCAACATCGGGGCCGATCGGACGACAACCCACGAGGTAATCGTTCTTTCCATATGATCGCATATGAACACCAGTAGGATCAATGGTGAGTGGGAGATCCCGAGATAGAGGTTCATCGACAGAGAAGATGTAGGTATATCTACTTCGAGCCTCGATCGGGAGATCTATGCCAGCAAGGCGCGAGACCTCGGCAGCTCTGGTTCCTGCGGCGTTGACAACATTGCCAACGCTGATGCTCTCTCCAGTCTTGAGAGTAACGGAAGTGATTTTGTTGCCGACGCGAGCCATTCCAACAACTTGATTATTGATGTAATCGACCCCAAGCTGTTGAGCTCTTTTGCGCAGGCTATGGGCCATACCAAGGGCGTCAAAGGCACCCTCGTCAACAGTGTTGAGACTGCCCGCCTCGATGTCATCTAGAGCGAAGAAAGGATACTCGGATGCTATCTCATCAGCCGACAGCATCTTAGTCCCAGCACCGCAGTTAGCCTGAAGCTTTTGGTCTTCCTCAAGAACGGCAGCAAACTCAGAATTGTCTGCGAGATACAGATAGCCGAAGTTACGGATAGGAATATCCGGAATGCCGTCGCCATCTTCACACTTGAGATTCTTGCGAAAGTCTCTGACAAATTCGGCAGCATACTGAGCTATCTTGACATTGATCTCGGTCGCAAATTGCTGACGCATGCAGTTATTGCTGGCCTGAGTTGCAGAGTAGGCAAGAGATGGGTCTCTCTCGACAACAAGAACTTTGCCCTTGAAATCAGGGCTCGACACGAGAAACCATGCTATTGCTGAGCCGCTTGTTGCGCCGCCTATGATGACGACATCGTAGGAGGCTGAAGAAGGATGTTGAGGGAACGAAGGAGTAGCCATGGCTGCAAGGTGCAAAGTTGTTGTAGTTGACGGTAGCGGGAGGTAGTGGTGGTTTGGTGAAGCCTGACAGTGAGAAGCAACAGCGGTCGCTTCTATGGATTATATATCATCTCCGGGAGCGCTTCTTGCCATGGCCTTGCTTACACCATAACGCTTAACCACGGAGACAGAAGTTTGTAAGGAGGCTTCACGTAGAGGAGGATTTAGACTCGGTGTTGTTGTCCATCTGTAAAGGTTTGCCCGAGTAAGTATCCGCGAAGCAGCACAGTCGTTCTGATAGGGGGAGCGACTTACCTTAATTTGTCAGCCTATGGTGACTTCGGTGAATCGCATGATGGAAGACTCATGATCCCCAGACCATGCCCGGATTGCATGAACCGGTCTGCAAAGTATTGAGTAGCGATAGTAGGCGCGCGGCAGATGGCGGCTCATCAATATCTCGGCCGCGGAGTTCCGTGGGCAACAGGCGCTAACTGTTTTTGCTAATGCCGACTCGATGCGCTGTGGCGAAATATCTCAACGAGACACGGCAGTTGGTTGACTAACGCTGAAAGCCTGGCGCCTTGCTGCAAATTTCATAAAATTGTGTGAGGCTGGGTGATAGACCTGTTCTGCTTTCGTCTAGATTTGTCACATAGCTACGACCACCGTGTTGGAAGAGCCGAAGAGGAACAGTTGGTGTGATTACCAATAACAATCGTTTGTGACGTATCAAACGAAACCCAATTTCCGTCTTCACATTACCCCACGTCTTCAATCATCCGTCATCAATTATGAGGGTCGCAAGCCACGCCCGGAGGCGCAAGGGTATGGAACATAACGAGAGACATCACCCAAGTAGCTCAAGGCTGACAAGTCTTAGCCTGCGATCTTTGCGTATCGAGAAAGATAAAATGTGATTTGGCCAAACCCACCTGTTCAAACTGTAAGCTGTACGGTGTTGATTGCAGCATCACCGAAATCACAAGTCCGGCTACTGCAGGTAGAAGAAAAGCGCCTGTCAGTGAAACTAGCCCAGCAAACTCTTCGTCAACCCCCTCCAGGTATGCAGACGCCCTCCGAACTCAACGTATAGCCATACTGACATTCATGAGGGACGACACAATAGAGTCACGCTTGGCTCAAATCGAAGCAAGACTGGACCATATCGCCGCCGAGAAGCCATGCGGAAGTTCATCTCAAAATGCAACCGCCTTGAACTTCCAGAACTTCCCCGAGATCCGCGTGTACAAAGCCTCAGACATGTGGAACGAAGCCACGACATTACCTTGCCTTGGCATTTCACCGCAGTTTCCAACAGGAGCCATGTTGGCCCAGACAGGAAAGCTTGAGCTGCCGCCACTTCAAGAAGTAATGGGCGTACTGGAGAGATACTTCGACAGCTACGGCCGCAACATGCCTCTGTTTGACAAAGGATCTTTCATGAAAATGACGGTTGACTGGTACTCTGAGAATGACAGAAAAGATCTGATCCCTTGGGCTGCCATCAACCTTGTCCTCGCTACGACTTACCGCATCATGGATGATATCCCGATCGAGGAGCCAAAACTGGCTCAATGTATGAGCAACGTACAGTCTGTCACGACCGAGTTGATGGCCTGGAGTGGCGATATTCTAGGCTTACAGGTTCTACTCGGCATGGTCATACTATTTCAGGGAACAACGAACCCGCAGCTCGCAATAGTTCTCATAGGAAGCGCCATCCGCCTAGCGCAGAGCATGGGACTGCCATCTGCGAGAGCCTCCGACGATCCCGATGAATCAGCGCAACGTCGTCGAGTGTTCTGGATAGCCTACATTCTAGACAAGGTATGGACCTGTCACATGAGATTGCCTGTCAGCAGCGACTAACTCACGAGCACAGGACCTTGCCCTTCGCGCCAAAGCTCCCTACACTCAGTTCGATGCCGAAACTGATCTCGAACTTCCCGACCAGTATGGAGATGATGACATGGGAATACTAGAGTCATGCACAGGGACTATTAGGTTCAACTACTTGCGTGCTCGATCTGAGTTGGCTATTATTCAAGGCAAAGTGCACAACTTCCTTTACAGCAGGACAGCCCAACGACTATCACAGGAGCAGCGAGCAGAGACCAAGGTCCGTATCGAACAAATGCTCTCCAACTGGCGCAGCGCAATACCACACGAGTTCCTGCGATCAGACAAACTCTTCCAAGATTTCTCGACAATCTCAGTTCACCTTGTGATGAACATGTATAACCGATACCTCGAATGCCTCTACAGGATCCACGGGACCTTTGCTTTTGATGAGACGTGGATTGACAGGGCGCGTTATTACCTTTCTCCAACTGTGATTCCGACTGGGCATGATGGAATCGATGGTCAGATCAACCAGAAAGAGATCAGCTCACTGCCTAGTGCATGGTCCGATTGCGTCGAGCATTCAAGGGCTGGCCTAGAACTGTCAGCGTTTGGGAGGGAAACAGAGTATTCGACCTGGTGAGTCGAACCTCGATTGTCAAGAATGTACGGACTGACACAGTAACCAGGCTTCATGCTTGCTGCAATCTTTCGGGACTGATCGTTTTGCTGGTCAACATCATCGAGTTCCCCGACCAGCCGTCGGTCATGTCAGATTGGAGCTTGATCGTGAGAATCCTCAGCAAATTTGATCAGATGAATGAAAAAGCATCGAATGAGCCATTCTTTCTGCTCCAGGTAGCTCATGAACTGGATCGCAAAGCTTCTGGGCAGGTCAAGCGGCTTGCCCATATGTCGTCACTCAGTCATCAGGAAGCCGCATTCTCTGAGACTTGGGCGAATCCGGACCTTATGTTCCTGTAGTCAACTAACTCAGCATACTCTCCCACGAGTTAGAGGGGTTGTCTAGTCTATCAGAACTATGCGATATTGGGCCATCCTTCAAATATCATCACCGTCACTTGACGATGACCCCCGCAAACAGCCCCACAATTCGGGGGAAGAGACCCCGAGTAATGTTCCCCCTCCCCCAAACTGACCAAGTCATCCAATCGTGACCGTTCTTGATAAATACCTCGCGTGCCTCGTTTCGTCACTTTGGGGGTCTTGGATTCAATGCACCTCAATATCAGACCAACATCAACATGGCGGAGACTAAAGCAACACGAAAGCGATATGCCGTTGTTGGCACCGGCGGCCGCTCAAGCTTCTTCTACTCAGCCATCGCAACAGAATACAGCAAAACATCATGCATCGTAGCCCTTTGCGACACAAATCAGACTCGCATGAACTATGCAAACTCCAAGCTGAAGTCACTCGGCCATGGCGAGGTTCCGACATATCTCGCCAGCAACTTCGATCAGATGATCAAAGAGTCCAAGCCTGACGAAGTCATCATTACAACCATGGATCGAACGCACAACATCTACATTGTTAGAGCTCTTGAACTAGGATGCAATGTCATTACTGAGAAGCCGATGACCATTGACGCCCCTAGGTGTAAGGAGATCTTTTCAGCAGTCGAGACAACTGGCCAGAAAGTTCGCGTCACTTTCAACTACAGATATGCGCCTCACAACACGAAAGTCTTTGAGTTGCTAAGATCTGGAGCTATTGGAAAAGTCACAAGCGTCCACTTTGGTGAGTCAGTGGTTAGAGCAAAGCGAAGAAGATGAAAGCTGACAACATGACTATAGAATGGATGCTGAACACCAGCCACGGAGCCGACTACTTCCGCCGTTGGCACAGGGACAAGCGCAACAGCGGCGGTCTTCTGGTCCACAAGTCGACACACCACTTCGACCTTGTTAACTTCTGGCTCCAGACCAGACCTCAAACTGTGTTTGCTACAGGCGACCTTGCCTTTTACGGTCGAGAGAACGCAGAGAAGCGTGGCGAGACCAAGTTCTATACCCGCGCCCATGGCAGCGAAGTCGCCAAAACTGACCCTTTTGCCCTTCATCTCGATGAGAACCCCCAGTTGAAGGCCATGTATCTAGATGCCGAGCACGAGGACGCTTACTACCGCGACCAGAGTGTCTTTGGTGACGGTATCAGCATCGAAGATACCATGAACGTTCTCGTCAAGTACCGCAATGGAGCTAGTCTTTCATACTCTCTCACAGCATACGCGCCATGGGAGGGTTTCCGAGTTAGCTTCAACGGAACTGGGGGACGTCTTGAAGTTGAGGTCGTTGAGAACAGCTACGTCAACTCAGGTGGTGATCAAGCACATGAGGGATCTTTAGAAAGCCGCAAGATCCTGCTTCGACCTCTCTTCGAGAAGCCAAGAGAGATCAAGGTCGAAGATGGTGTTGGTGCTCATGGGGGTGGAGATACTGTCTTATTGAATGATTTGTTTGGAACGCCGGTGTCGGATGAGTACATGCGAGCAGCGAGCCATATCGATGGTGCTGCTTCGATACTTACTGGTATCGCGGCTAACAGGTCTATTGCTACGGGACAAGCCATCAACGTAGATGATATTTTGCTAGTCCCTAGTTCATGAACATAGGAAACTCGAGCATAATCTTCACCAGGGGAAAAAGAAAGTTACTATAGCTGGTATGAACAAAACCAATAACATCTACGCAATATTGCTCGCTTCTGACTCCTCACCCATGCGTATCTTCTCTTGAATGATAAACAACTCTTGCTCCCGCGCACTCTTCTCAAGATCGAGAAATGACCAGATTCCAATAGCACTGACCAAGCTCAAAGCAAACAAAAAGTAAAAGGGAGCACTGTTGTTAGTGCCGCCGGGGGTAGCATCAATGATAGCACTGCTGATGAAAGGCCCAATGAAACTAGACGATTTACCGATGATGTTGAATAGGGAGAAGAAAAGGAACTCGTGCCCCCGAGGTGTGACGGAGCTGATCATGATCTGCGAGTAACTGTACCAGGGACAAACGAATAGTCCATAGAAAGCTTGATACAGCCAGATCTCCCAGACGTTCTTGAAGCCAAACTTGTCGGTCCAGTTTCCAATCATGCCCCAGCCATCGAGAAGGATGATAAAAACCATGACGGCGTTGAACATGGCCTTGACACTGAGGTTGAAGTGTTTCTGGATAAGCCAAAAAGCACCAATGCCGATAGCTTGAGCGACGATGCCGACGATGAGGAGGTAGGTCAAAGTGAGAGTCTCGTAGCTAACGACCTGGTTCTGAAGGGTGCCGATGACAGTGACAGTGGTGTTGAGAGAATCGCCAAGAAGGAAGTATCCAACAAGATAGATCAAGCTCTGCTTGAGGTGCCAGATTTGAGTGAGAGCCTCCCAAAGCTGCCAGAATCCAACGGTGATCATGTTCAAGTGATCCGGGACCTTCATTCCTGGCCGTTTCTTCTCTAGCACGAACCACGGAATAGACAGGACAAGCCAACAAGCAGTAGCGAAAGCAATCAAGACCGAAAGCCCCCAGTTGTTGTTATCGGCACTCTTGTCGACTTTGACACCAAACATGATACCCACGATGATGGCTAGAATGACAACTTCGCCAACAGACTGTATATAAAAGGCAACGTTGCTGAGCCTGCTCCTCTCCATCTCATCCTTGCGATCCATCTCGCTTTGGGTAATTTCTCCAGCCTCGAACTGAAGGGCAGCTTCTTTCAGCTGCGGAGTGTTTCTGGCAAGAGAGGGAAACGCAGCGGTCCAATAAGTCAAAGTCATCTGATAAGCTATCAAGCCGACGATGTAAAGAGCTGTACCGGTTTGCCACTTGCTGGGATCATGGACGCCCAGCCAGGCGAAGCCAATGCCGTAGGCGATGATTGACCAGACCAGAAGAATCCATCGTCGCCCAGTCCCGAAATCTGCGTAAGCTCCAATGATGAGAAAAAGAACGGCCTGAATAGCGAAAGATATGCCATTGGCAAGAAGAACAATGCTGTTGACGTCTCGTTCGCGACCGGCAAATGGTAAAAGCCCTGTATCTTTGGGCGCGGCCTGCGACAGCAGATTCTGAAAGGCAGTCGGGCCAAAATTGAACAAGGCGAGTCCATTTGAACCAATGTAATACGCGTACCACGACCAGATCTCCTTCTTGGTCGTCTCTGGCATGTCGCCCTCTGCCAGTGCAGGCACTATGATGCCTGCGCTGACGTCTTGCTTGGCAGGCTCATCATGCAGGTCTTTAGACATCCTGGTCTCTGCCGTCGCGGGATCTGCTTGGGATGTCATCTTTCGAGATTGTCCGTGAAAGGAAAAAAGTTATTGGGACAAGAGTTCAATTGAGTTCTCCACGAGGCATTTAACTTAATCGTGTCTCAGCGTGGATGCCGTGTAACCGTTCTTATGGTGGACCGTGATTCTAGATGACAGAAGGTCTTAGGCAACTTAGCATAAGTTCAGGGTGCCTCTTGCTGAGTTAATTTTGACACCCTGTACCTAGGCTTGATGTTTTTTTCCCTCTTCGAGGACATGATAGGCAGATTGTTGATCAAACATTGCTAGGCCCCGGGGAGGCAAAATACACGACCCGCAACGGGTGCGGTTGCTCCATGGGGTTAGTCTGGGGAGATCGAGGGACTTTTGCTATCGCTATTTTCCGAGGATCAAGATAAGCTCAGAAAAGATCCATCGCTACTCTCTAATCGTCTCCACGAGACTGGTTCAGACAGACCAAAATGAGAAAATGACATATCCTGCTCTTGACCAAAGGGGTATTTGTCTGATAACGTTCATGATTACGACCCTCCATTTACCTGACATCAATATATAGATTGGCAAAAGTCAAAACCTTGTGATTCGGGGTGCACAAAGATAACGCCCTAAGGATGTTTTGATGCTAGAGTGCATTGAACTTGAATACGGAGACATATGCATGAAACAAAATGTTACTCGCTGAAGGGAATAATACCTTGAAGCTCAAGTTCAATGAGGCGAACGAATCCGATCGGTTGCCAGAGCTTTAGGTTTGAGCCGCATATCAATTTGATGCCATCCGCCAATATCTTTCTACCTTTCACTTCGACTTTGGCTTGAAAGCCATTAATAAATTCGGTTCCAGAACTAACAAGATCCTACGGAAAAGCCCATCGGTGAAAGCATCTTGTAGTCTAAACAAACTCCCGGCCACGCCGAGTCAATTCTAAGGGGCTTCCGAAAAGATGTCGTATCCCTCCACAAGGATGGACACGCTTTAATTCATCTCATAAATAAGGATATAATTTGCGAATTAAATCGACGCGCTGGTCAGTGTCCAATCCCCATTCTAGTTGGCCGTCCTGCTCCGAGCCTAGAGCCGCCTACGAGATTGGCTCAAAAACCAACTGTATGCATCTGAATGGCTGGGTTGGAAAGGCAGCGCGAAGTGCGCACAGACTACCAGTCATACCCATCTAATTGGAAGATTCAGAAATGAAGAAATTAGTAGGAGGACTGGCTAAACAGGGCAAAGCCAGCAGGTAAATGTCCTCAGTCTTGCAGCACAAACTTTGACTTACATCCGTTGGTATTTATCCAAGAAGCGGTGACCTCTAGAGTTTCAGGGTCGGTTATCCACTGCGAGGCAGTATTAGCATTGGAAACTTTGCGCCTGAAGTGTTGGCTTACAATAGCTGATTCAGCTGTCAACGTATATTGATGAAATACAGCCCAGTTACTCCAAGCGTGGTAGAAATAGGCTGGCGGACTACCGGGAGGACCTATGGCTGTTAACTACCCGGCTAGAGTATAAAGAGCGTTGCCAACATTGATTTTTTGTGTTTTGATTACTAGAAGTACACTTAGAAAGATAATTGTGGCTGTTTTCATGATCTGTTAAGCTTTTGTATAGAAAGATCGAGATACCTCTTTACTTACAACGATGAGTCTGGCCCCAAGTCGGCATTTGTGCTATGGGCACTCTGGACGGCACAGAAGTGTGTTCCACCAAATGTCTCAGCATGGACGAAATCCAGTGTTGAGAAGTGGCACCTGGCTCAGGAGCAGATATCTGAATCTCCAAAGCTTCCTCTCTAGGGCCATAAGAACGACTTAGGGTCAGGGCATCGGACATAGCCAATGGCAGACTTGTCTGGATTCACCAGTCGAATGATGCAGGCGGTGTGTGCACAGTCTGGACCACTTCAAACGACGTGTTTGATCTGTCCATGAGTCGTGTCTCCAGTATCGCCGCCAGATACGGCGACAATGTAGACCTAAGACTCTCAACCACTACCAGCCTCAACATCGTGTTGAGCTGTTCTCAGGTTTATTAATTCAAGATTATGAGAGAGAGAACTCATTAACCAGCAAAAAAGAAAGTTGGAAGGCTACTTGATGAATGTGGCAGTTTTTCGTGCTTGTGTCTGCCATGATATTGACCTAAGGCCTCAGGAAGGGAGTGACTAATGCGTCTTTGGGTATGGGAACTAATACCAGCTTATTCTGAACATTTCTATTAATCGCGGAATTTTCACTTATGGAAACTTAAGGATCAAACATTTTCTTTGCGCTGGGTCTCTTGTCCGTTTCACAGGGCAGACCTTGCTATCGCTCGCCCTGTGATTGCACCACTTGTCTCCACTCGCACATGATGGGGATTATGGATCGACATTAACAATTTTATTTATTGCAAACAAGCCACATGACAAACTCAGAGAAAAGTGTCAATTTACTGAGGATCAAGAGAAATAGGCAACGACGACATCATGGTAGTGCATCCCGCAGAGGTTGGCCAACACAACAACGCCAGCTCCTGTTGGCTCATCATTCATGCAGGTAAATCGCTCAATCGGTACTGCACCCACTAATCAAGCTGCAGAACAAGGTCTACGATCTTACAGAATTTCTTCCAAGTATATATGACCCTCATCACTCGCCTCTCTGAACTCATACTGACCCCTTCGATAGATCATCCTGGAGGAAAGAAGGTGATCCTGAAAAATGCTGTACGCATCGCTTACTCTTCAAAAAGCCTCCGTACTAACTACTCCAGGGCAAAGACTCTACTGCGGACTTTGATCTGATTCATTCTATCGATGTTCTGGATAAGTGGCTTGATCCATCCAAACACCTGGGCGATATCGATACCAGCAAAACAGACATGTCCGCGGATGGAACCACACAGTCCAAAGAATCGGAACAGAGCCAAGGGACTGTTGCAAGGAAACCAAAACTATCACAATGCGTGAACATATCAGACTTTGAGTCTGTAGCACAACAGACAATGAAGAAATCTTCTTGGAACTACTATTCCACTGGAGCCGAGGACGAGTTTGTGAGTTGACAGTTCGCTCGAGTCAATCCCAGCATGAGGCTTATAAGCAACAGACCATCAAAGAAAACAACGCATCATTCCAGCGCATCCGGTTTCGACCAAAAGTTCTTGTCAACGTTGAGCACGTGGATATTTCTACCACTATGCTTGGAGCCCATACATCCGCTCCAATCTACATAACAGCTACTGCGCACGCCAAGCTTGGAGACCCAGAAGGCGAAGTGACACTAGCGAGGGCAAGCAACAAGCATGATATCATCCAAATGATACCATTGTACTCATCATGTCCCCTCGAAGATATCACAAATACTAGGGAACCTAATCGGACTCAATGGTATCAGATTTATGTCAAGAAAGATCGGAATGTGACACGGAAGGCTGTTGAAGCCGCCGAGGCACGGGGTTGTAAAGCTCTGTGCATCACCGTCGATAATCCACATCTCGGAAGTCGTGAGAGGGTCCTACGTTCGCAACAGAGTGAGTCTAACGACGACGAATTCGAGGATGCGCCAGCAACAGAGCTGGATCCTTCTCTCATAATGAACTCAACTCTGTCTTGGGATGATATTCCATGGTTCCAAGACATCACCAACATGCCTATTGTCCTCAAAGGTGTACAGCGAGTTGAGGACGTCATAAAGGCAGCAGAATACGGCGTTCAGGGCGTGATTCTTTCTAATCACGGCGGACGACAACTCGATTACTCAGAGGCTCCAATTGAGGTACTCGCGGAGGCTATGCCTATCTTGAGAGAACGAGGCCTTCAGGGCAAAATTGAAGTGTATGTTGACGGCGGTTTTCGTCGTGGCTCGAACGTGTTAAAGGCTTTGTGTCTTGGGGCTCGCGCTGTTGGCATCGGTCGCCCATTTCTTTACGCGATGGCCGCCTATGGACAGAAAGGACTCGAGAAAGCGATTCGTATCTACAAGGATGAACTTGAAAGGAACATGCGACTGCTTGGGTGCACTTCGATAGATCAGCTTCACCCAGGGCTGGTAAAGGTGCTTAGTGAGGTTCGAGAAAGGCTATGAACATCTGACCGCGGTTGGCATCATTTATTGCTAGCAGGTTTTATAGAATGAGATAAGCATTTGAGGCGCTCTCGAAGTTATAATTGGGGTGATCTATCAACAACAAAGGGTCTCATGTGCGCTTCATACAAGTTGGTAAAATGCCAATGATTCAAGAGCAATCAAGTGACAAGGGGTGTTGAAAGAGCGATTGATTGCCCGAAAGCCATCGATTATATTATGTGCATTATCTAATAATATACAGAGACAACCTCTCTAAACCGAAGCCAATACATCCCGTTGCTACTGATCTACCATCGCAGCTTTACCAGCCGCCACCAGCCTTCTTGAAACCAGGGTACATCTTCTTGTTATAGTCCAACCAGTTTGTTCCGTTGACACTCAAGTCCTTGTACACGGGGCAGTCCATAGCTCCCATGATAGGCTCAAGAGCAGCGAAGAGGACATCAGTTACAGAAGACAAGGTGGCGAAGAGAGATGACAAAGCGTTGGGAGAGACGGTCTTGATAGCGTTGAGAGCAAAGCAGACAAGGTTGTTGCCCTGGAGAAGGTTCTTTCCGTTGAGGACTCCACCAGCAAGGTCGTCAAAGTCAATTCCGACAAATGTGTTGACACCGTTGGTGTTACCGCCAATGCTGACAGATATTAGTTGGGATCGATATGGGACGCATCATGAGATGACTTACCTTAGGACCTCAGGGTGACTGTGAGTAACAATGTCAAGGGCGTTAGCAGCAATACCATAGTCGGTATAGCGGCGGCGGTAGAAGTTCTCGGGGATACGCTCATGGCCGATGACGTAGGTCATGTTCTCCTCAGGTCCGTAAACAGAGAAAAAGGCCTTGAGAGTCTCCTTATCGAGGATACCGTCGTCGGGATGCTCAGCAGAGCGGTTGGCAGCAAGACGAGCAGTGAAGGAGTAAGGGCTAGCTCGAACGAGCCAGCCACTAGCAGGGCCGAACCAAGCGTAGGGGTTGGTAGCAATGGTCTGGTGCCAGCGGTTCTTGTTGTGCTCGTACAGAACATCAATGCTGTAGTTGGGGTTCTCGGCGTCCTTTTGCAGGTTGTAGAGCTCCATGAAGTAGGTCATGTTCATGTTGTTGTTGTCACCAATGGGGTCGTAGAGATCACCTCGAGTAGGGCTGCCGTCAACCTCGAAGAAAGGGTGAGAACCACTGAGGCCACGAGGAGTTCCGAAGAGTCCAAGGAGGTTGTTGTTCATGTACTTGGACCAGCCACCCTGAGAGACAGCGACGAGGTTACCACCGAGAACAACACCCAGAGTGGTGAGGAGAGAGGACATGTCAGGCGCCATTCCCCAGACCTTACCAACAGCGGTGACATACTGCGTGAATGTAGCAACACCCTATTTGAAGATTAGTAACATGCTATTGGCAGAAAAGGATGGAAGCGTACGTTGTGAGGGAGGTAGCCATGATTAGCAAGAGTATTCAATCCTGGGCAAAGTCCTCGAACATCTCCAGCCTCAAAGTCGGGTGGGTTGAACTCGTGCTCGCCGTGAACTATTGACTTATCAGCTGGAATCATTGGATTTGGGGTTTCCTCATTCGGAGACTAACCATCAACGAGCTGCTCCTTGGGGTCAAAGTCGATAACCCTCTTACCCAAGTTGGTAGGGGCCTGAGAGGCAAACTTGCGAATCAGCTCAGGATCAACACCAAGGTGAGGATTCTTGGCACCACGAGTACCGAACTTGAAAGCATTCAGCGGAATAGGTGTGTCGGCATCAAGCTTAGGGAGAGCGGTGGCTTGGTTGGAAAGCAAGGCCGTGGCCAGAGTCGCAAGAGTAATAGGCTTCATACTATCAACTTCAGCAAACACAATTAGGGTAAAACGAGCGAATGATCTTCAAAATGAATGGACGAAGTCAGGATTAAAGAGAGAATACGAATGAGAGTTGACTCATTTGTCATAGCCTAGAAGGTTGAAGTTATGTTTATATACCAGATGCATCAAGAGATTTGATCTTCGCACTATTCCAGAGGCCGTCCTTCCGGAGTGCTAAGGGGCGTTGCATTGCGCATCACAATAGGATGCTACCAAACTGGTGGGAAGGCAGAAAACTTCTCCTGAGTTGATCATCCAATGGAGCGAGATGAGTTCGAAATACCATGAGCTGTGCTGGCTAACTTGACAGACCGGGGTAGGCAATCCCTAGGTCATCAGCCACCTCGTACTTCACCTGGACAAACTTGGCGTTTCGAGGTACAGATCGGCAGAAACCAGGTCATAGCTTTGGAAGTTCCTGCAAATTTGATGACGCGGATGCGTTTGTCAAAGTTCCGGTGGACCGAAGCCTTCTAATCACCTTGCATCGCAGGGCCTTACGAGTCTTGGAATCTCTCAGTCGAAAACTTCATCCCTAGACCGCAAAAGATCGTCGCGAATCTCTCTCTTTGAGTGGGTATATCCAGAGTTGGGATTTCTCAAGGCTCTATTGAGTTGCATTTCCGCGTAGGGTTGTGCACAATTGAGCACGACAGGCAACCCCCGGCCAAAGAAGGATAACCTGCAGGTGCTTGAGTCAAGTCCAGGGGGTTTGACCCCTACAGGGCTCACAAATCCTTCGCGAACTCTAACCAAAGTTTCGTCTCCACGGCAGTGACTGACAATCGGGCGGGGAAGCAATTCCTAAGCTAAGCGGCAGTTGGTGATGACCATAGCCTTTGCTAATCACTCAAGGGTGATGTACCCAGCGCCTAACAAGGGTTTTGCGTTGCATTCTCAACCGTTGGCTATCTGACGTAGTAGTAGGAGCGGAAACGACAGGGATCACAAACTCAGGGAACAAGCATCCAACGCCTGTCATCTAATCATCTCATCCCTATCTCTAGCCAGGAAAGAGGAAACAAAGCCAAAACAAGGATGCATAAACTGACAGAGATGTTGATCTTCAGCCGTTGGTTCTTGGATGCTACGGTACCATAGTGTCGGGATATTGGGTCCTCTATGCCGGAGGTTTCAAACGCCTGTTAGCCTCTCATTTCTCGTTTTTCGGAAGTGTTGACATCTTCCGGAGTGAGCTTCGTAACACTCTGTGGTTATGAATGTTGGGTGTTATGAACTTTTGAATAACAAAAGAAAGGAATATTTGCCGGAATGCAACATTCAACGGGCGAAGCTTTTCAGTGGCAATTCAAGTGATCCACTCGACCCCTCGACACCAGATATTGGGGATTTACTAGTATTATCGGTAGTTGGAAATCTTCAGGGGCTTGGCCATCGTAATATTCCAGTGTAGTAAGATATAGATAGGGACATAAAAGACATCTTGCCTATTGTTGTTTATGTCTTTTACGTTGATTTCTGAGCTGGCTCTGATACTGCACCGTGATTCCGTTCAACACAGACTCTGCAGCCATGCGTCTTCTGTCATTTTCTCTCTTCTTAGCGGCCCTGCTCGGGCTCGTTAATGCGGCCAGCTTTACTGAGCTAGCCGCTCAGCTCCCCGACTGCGATGTCAGTAACAGCCGACCACCCACTATCCAGCTTTGACTAACAGCTAGACCAGATACAATGTGTCCAGCAAGCGATACCACAGTCACCATGTTCAATGACAAACACAACATGTCTCTGTACAGATCAGAAATTTGCAGGCTTGACGCAGGCTTGCGTGCTGAAGAACTGCACAGTCAAGGACTCACTGAGTAGGTTACCTGTCATGGTAGCAATGAATGAGCACTGACCAGTCCCTTTCTATAGCATTGATGAGAATTCAAAACCTAGCTTGCGGTGTTCCTGTCAAGAGCCAACAGATGAAGTTCAGGCTCAATGCACTTGTTGCCTGTATCCTCGCCGAGATTTGTGTCATCTTGAGAATATACTCCAAATTGAAGATCTTTGGAAAGCTTGGCCCTGATGACTATGCGATTCTCATTGCAGGAGTATGTTCCAGCTCAAGCCCTGGTAACATTTGCTAACACAATGGTATAGTTTGCTACAGTGCCTTACATCTGGCTTGCGTGCAGACTTGCAGATCTTGGCTTCGGGCTAAACATCTGGGACATCACTCCGTTCGAGCGCCTGTACGAACTGCTAAAGCTCTTCTGGATAGACCAGATCATGTACAGTGTTCACTTGTATAGCACAAAGATCTCGATTCTTTTCTTTCTCCGTGGTATTTTCACTACTTCAGAGTTCAAGAAGTTGACTGTGTCGATCGGCATCTTTGTCTGCTTGTGTGGTGCTGCTACAATGATCACCACTTCACTCCAATGTCTTCCAGCTTCCTACAATTGGACAAGCTGGGATGCCGAGCACAAAGGCCACTGTAATGACCTCAACTCGCAGACTTATGCTTTTGGTGGAATCAACATGGCTTGCGATATCGTCATCCTGGTCTTGCCGATCAACCACCTTTGGAAGCTGCAGGTCAAGGGCCGGCAGAAGATTCAGCTCTTTGTTATGTTCAGTCTAGGCATTGTGTAAGTTTCTATAACCCGGGCTGCTGAATGCAAGCTAACAATTCACAGTGTTACGGTGTTTAGTATCATCCGTCTACCATTCCTGATCACATTGGGAAAGACGACTAACCCAACTTGTGAGTGACCAGGGTCGATTTTCAATACAAACACGCTAATACAAATGTCAGGGGAGTACGTTGAAGTCACCATCTGGTCTATCTGGGAAACGGAACTCGGCATGGTATGCGCAAGCCTCCCAGCCATCCGCCACCTGTTCAAGCATCTCTGGCCCAACGCCATGGCTACCATTGCCTCCAAGATGAGCTTCTCCAGCACAAACAAAGACTCCACACTCGACAAGAGTGCTGGAAGCTGGGGTGGCAGCCGTGGGGCTCGCTCCAAGACAGATAACAAGGAGTACTATGAGCTTGATGAGCGGAGTCTCATTGGCAAGGGGCCGGATCCTGCCACTAATGTGAGCTCCACCAACGTTCATTCGATGGCGTAGACGTCTACGCCCGTGTGGTTTTTAAGCGTTTAGATAGTATTTTACACTTTCGATGTTGTTTTATTACATTAACTTCATTGTGCCAGCTCTGTGCGGTATATGGGTCACATTTAGATAGGCGCGTTCATTCGTATAACAAAATTGCTTCCCACGCGACCTTTGAGTAACGTTACCGGGATTTAACTTCAAATACCTTGGTGTCGATCCTTTCCTACTACCGCGTTTCATTCACATGTCTCGAGTTACAGGCTCCTTATTATACTGCCCACTGCTATTGACAATGTCGTATAATCCTCTTGGCGTAGAAAGGTCTCACTGTGAAAAAGTCTTTTGACAACCAAAGGTACATGGATGTTCTGCACTTATTCCTGTTGATCTGCGGTTTCTTACACGTTCGATTTCATCCCCTTACCCTGTCCTGTATAGGCTTCCTGGGATTAACATCCTGTCAATGATGTCTCACCAAGGCCCGGTCCTTGGGCCCCAAGTGATCGGCATAGAAGGAGCCACTAATGCCCGGGGACCGTTGAGACTCCTCCGTCCTTGCGGGCCGTTTAGAATCAAAACCCAATCTCAATGTTGCATCCCCAGGCAGGTATTATCTTGAATGCTCCCTCAACGGCGACACCGAAAATGGTTAGCCAGGATCCAGCAAGAGAGACACTACCAAAGTCAAAGTCAGTTCAGTTCATCGTTTTCATTAAGAAAAGAGGGTCAAGATTGTTTTAACCTCCTGGATCCAATCTACCAGATATCTGGGCTTACGGGGATTAGACTGACATGTTTTAGGGGCTCTGTTCGTTTCTTCAATTTATTTAGTGTCAATGTTTCCAGGAGTTGGGTAACCTGGGCTCACAGTGCTTGATAATACTACAGTAAGTACCGGGTTTGCTCTGATGCAACCTCGGACTCGCCTAATCCAACGTCCCCCGTTATGAATACTACTCCGTTCGTTAGTCACTGTCTCCTGTCCGCGTTTACAAATTTGCACTATTCATCCTATCTTTTGGGTCTGCATGCGCTATGTAACAATAGTTATTCATAGTTGTTCATTGCGTGTAGCGCTTGTCACATTTTGGAATCCACAATCTCATAGTGTCTTATTGTCTGACGGGCTTCTGCTGGCAAGTCGTCACCATTAGGTAGTACCATTGTGTGACTTGAAGTGATCCAATGACTCAACCAATACCAGGAAATATGGCTGTGAATAGGTTAAACAAATTCTGGGGCACATTCAATACGGTATCCATGTTCCCATGTTGTGTTCTATGCACAGCTCGCAAAACCCCCATGTTTCAATCGCCAGCCATCCATCGCCAGGTGCCACGTCCTAATACAGCTCTTCACCAACCAGGGCCTGTTTCACTTGGAGTACTAGCTATCCTATTATGGAATTCACTACCTTCAGCAATCTAGGCAATGTCCGTATTGGTGTAGTTCAACTAATGTGACGATATCTTTCAGGATGTCGGGCCCAATTTCCCAAGCCACCCACATTCCGAATACATCCATTCCCTGTCTCTTCGTATGTCAAAGATGATCCAAATCTTCCACGTTTCTTGCGCCGCAAGCGTGACTGTCCCGGCCTCCCGGAGAGCATGGCAGCGGGGATCTCCTCAACGCACGTGCTAGACTGGCGTCAACGGTCAGGCAGTTTCTTCCATTCCTGGGCTGATTTCCCAGCTCAGTTGAACGGGCTGATAATGCACAGCACTATCTCGGTTGTGCTTGAAGACTTTGCAGATAGGAGGAATCATACACTATTACGTGCTGGTGGGCTGATGGCTAATCACTCGGGTTCCTCGAGTAAATCGTCCGATACTCCGAAAGTCCCATTCACAGCCGGTATATGACTCTGATAAGGCTGCATTTGACAGCATACCAGTGTGTCATCTTAATTGGACTTGCATTTTGCTTTCCATATGCCCTTGAACTTTCATTCATTTCCGACCCCAAGTTATTGCCATGGTTGCTTCCGAGAAGAAGACCTTTGACGGGTCTGCTGGTCTGTCACTCTCTCGCTTCTTGAGGTTTATTTCCTCAGAATACCGCATTCTGTTCACGTTCGTTTTTACCCTCAACCTCATTGGCGTTATTATCTTTCTATGGCTATGGTTCCTTGATGGCGATGCAAACCCAAACGCCTGCGGCCTCGCAACAGCAATAAATCTCGCCGTCAGTATTGTTATTCGAGAGGAGCATGTCGTCAACGGCCTATACTATGTCTTCACTGCGTTTCCAAAAACGTCACCACTCTGGCTGAGGTCACGGATGGGCAAGATCTACCATCTTGGAGGTCTGCATAGTGGCTGTGGAGTGGCAGCTACCTTCTGGTTCATCATGATGTCCATTGAGAAAACCAGTTTTTTCAATAACACTGAGGACCGAGATGCCGCCATGTGGGTGTACATTGTTATCATCTACATGCTGGACTGCCTTCTCATTGCAATGTTGGTCATGTCTTACCCCTCAGTGCGGGCAAAGATCCACAATGCTTTTGAAGTTGTCCATCGACTGGCTGGCTGGTCTTCTCTGGCTCTTCTCTGGTGCCTTACGGTTCTCGATGCAACAATCAATACCAAGCCGGGTGATTCACCCGCCGCGGCTGTTTTCTCCAGTGCACCAGTTTGGCTCGTCTTTGTCTCAACCTGTTGTGTTATATCAACTTGGTTGAACTGTCGGAAAGTTCAAGTTGTCTCTGAGCGACTATCTTCACACGCTCTTCGGATGTATTTCGACTATACCAATCCTCAACCTGGAACAACCATTCGACTATCATCTCGACCTTTGCTGGAATGGCACGCCTTTGCCACGGTCAACAATCCAAAGGAAAATGGGTTTTCGGTAGTTATTTCAAATGCAGGGGACTGGACGAAGAAGGTCGTCAACGAGCCACCTCGTGAAGTTTGGGTCCGCCGTACGCCGACCTGCGGTGTCTTACGTATCGCCCCGATGTTTAACAGTATTGTTTTGGTTGCTACTGGTTCCGGAATTGCACCATGCCTTCCAGTCATTCTTGCACAGCAAACACGAGTAACTCTATTCTGGTCAACTCGAGATCCTATGGAGACCTACGGTCCAAATATTGCTTCTATTATCCTAGGAATGGGAGATGATGCACACATTCACAACACCTCAACTATGGGCCGACCCAACACGCTTCCTACAGTCCTGGACCTGTACAAGAAGACAGAAAGCGAGGCTGTAGTAGTGATCTCTAATCCAAAACTGACGATCGACTTGGTTCTAGACTTGCAGGCTTTGGGAGTACCAGCTTTTGGTCCAATCTGGGATTCATAGGAATTCCCAGGCCACGTATACTAGGTTTGAATAGAGTTACATCATCAGGTAGAATATTAGATAATAAGCCGATGCTTCCATCTGTTGCTTCACGGCTTGTAAGACGGTATCGCAGATCAAAAGATTGATATTTTCATCTCAATTTGGTTTCCTACAAAGAGCCAAGTGCCGAGTCCCAAAAATAAGTCTGAGAAAGTCTATCGTGGGATATCGTTGATTAAGGGAAACTCGCTCAGGACTACGTGCCGGCACTGCCTCTTTTCAGACGGTCATCCTATTGTACACCAACGGCAACCTTGTGAAAACAAGGGTAACAGACGGTCAAACGTCTTCCTTCAAGTTTCTACAGCTTTCCAATACGACGTTACTTCTCACCGCCTTTGGTGTCCTTGGCCAGTATGATCCATCTCGTCCTTCGTGATGCAATTCCATATTGCAGATCCCCCTTCTTACTGCTACCTGGCTCCAACGCGCTGGAACCCAGAACCCATAGCCTCAAAAAAGCTTGGGTCAGGCTAATTCGGCAGATGTTACATCGACCGTGTGGGTAAGCTTTGCCGGGTGGCCATCGCCTCCATCCTTACCTAGCTCAGCACTTCATTACAGTTCTCGTACCAAAAATCACTTGGCCGATCATTATTAGTTTGCTGCCTGAAACTCGTAGCTTCGGTGTATTTGAATTTTTCAGGGCTTATACGCGTTCTCTGCTAAACCTTGGAGCGGTGGCGGGCGTAGCTATGACGAAAATACGGTTGAAGCCATTGAATAAGTAGTCGAAGGTTCTCACTCAGCTGTCACTGTCTTAGATCTTACTGCTTTCATCTCATCCCAGTCTTTAAACAAATCTACTATTATTCTCTATAACGATCTTCTGCCTTATCGTCTTCAAAATGACTAGCAGATCTATCACTGTTACCCAGCGCTATAATGAGCCCATTTCAATGCGACAGAGTTCATTGCAATTCATGCAGGAGAAGCAAGCGACCCATCAGTCTGGTAACGACCCCTGAACCAACAGCACCCACTACAGCATGTGACTGACTTGAGGTAGCATACAATGCAGAGACAGAAAGGTCGAGCCGCATGAAGAAGCTCGCTTACCACTTTGTCACATTATGCCTCTTCACCAAAAGTGATATGCCCACTTCCACCGGCATCAATACCACGTTCGCCATGGCAGGGATCCTAGCTGGTCCTGGTACCATCAGTAATGCCGACATCGAATGGCATGATATGGGTAAGGGCATTCTCGTTGCTCTCTACTTCACCTGGCACTTGACCCTCTGTTTCAATCTCGGAAATCAGCGACAGCCGCAGTCCGTCATTGAGGATGGCGTCAACAAGCCGTGGCGGCCCATTCCAGCTGGTCGCATCTCCCCTGAACTGGCACACAAATGGCAGCTAGCCTCAATTGTCACCCTCCTTGCTCTGTGCTATACTACTCTGGGGGCTTGGCAGGAAACTGCCTTTTACCTCTTCTGCACCTGGCTGTACAATGAGCGTGCTTGGGGTGACAAGAGCTGGTGGCAGCGCGCGCTAATGAACGCCTGCGGTATCACTACCAACCGTGTAGCAACCCTTCGGGTAGCTGTCACCGCCATCCAAGCCAATTCTCATGAGAACTTCGAGTTCACTAACAAGGGTTTGGGCTGGTTCCTGGTGTGCGCATCCCTTGTCTTCACTACCATCCAGGTTCAAGA